TAGGCCTTCCTAGTTTAGTGACAAGAGATAAGATTCAGATCATCCTCCATGTGACGCAAGACAGACTGTGCCTGTGAGAGAAACAGGGACCAGACATGGGGTGGGGTAAGGCATTTGTGACTTGAGTGATTTATAAAAACTTTCTTGGAAGAGGTGGCATGGTGCTTGATTCTGGAGGACCAAAGGGGGAGGGAGGTCCCTTGAGGCAACTGGAGCCTTCTGAGCTGCTGAGTGGGGGTTGGAGTATGGAAATGGGGAAGAAATGCTGGATTCCCACAGTGACAGCAAATAACTGCTGCTTGATGTGTTTTGGGAAGAGAATGTGGAGGCTGCTTATAGGGAATCAATGTGACATGACCAGAGCTCAGGATAGGAATGCCCAGAGGTGGATTCGAGGTAGAATGAGTTTCAGGAAGGGCTACAGAAGGGGAGCCCCATGTCTGGGAGACAGGTTCGAAGGCTGTAGTAAGTTCCCATTGCTGCCACACACCCTGTCTCTTAGGGCCTATCTCCCCTCCCCCACTCCCAGTTGGGACACTTCCCCTGCTGTAACTGCCACAGAGATCTGGCAATCAGGCAATCCACTGCTTCCTTTCCCTCCCCCATTCTGGGCCAGCCTGGGCCACACCCCAAGACCAGGCCCCGCTAGGTGCAAGCTGGGCTCCAAGGACCACAGTGAGACAGGTTTAGCACCCCCCACACACCCTATGAGCTATGCTCCCTGCCAGAGCCAGGTCAAGTCGGTCCTAGGGGTAGAGATGTTTGCCTGTCCCAGTCACAGCTTTTGCTGCCATTGCTGTCCAAAAAGATTCAGCATTGCAGTGTTGGCTGTGGGGATGTTGTCCAGTTCTGGCATTCTGAGGTGTCTATCCAGGTCTCAGTAGTGGGTGTAGAAGCAATCCAATTACAAGGCAGTAGTTGCCACAGTCCTATGTGCCCAGCCCTATACTCAGCTTTTCTCAGGGGGAGTTGAGAGAGGCTCAAGCTTCAGGACTAGGGGGACATCCACAAATTAGGAAACTAATGTATGATTATTAGAGGAGAATCACATGGAGCTGAAGAAAGGTTAAAAGGGGTGGCATGCTATGTAAGTTTGAAGAAAGAAGAATTCAGTAGTCTCTTGAGCCCTGTGAGACTTAAGCTAGTCCTTGAGTCAGGAAGATGTGAGATGGGAGAGAAAATGGCAGGACAGAAGAATAAGTTCAGAGGCAAGTATGATCTTGTATACAGAGAAAAGTGAAGACCCCTCTGGAACAGGCAGCTGGGAACTCACATTTGCAAAGTACCTATCTTGTACATATATGTATTGCATATCAACATACTTAATCCTTATAACAATCATATAAAGTTGGTACTGCTACTTAGCTTGTAACTGGCAGAAGTAGGATTTAAACCCGGATCTATCTTGACTCCAAAAACTCCTACCAGATTATGAAGAACTCTGAACCCTAACATGAGGGACCAGACATGATCGGAATTCAGTTGGCAATATATAACCAGAACAAGTCATTGTAATTTGGCTAATACTATTCAGATCTGCAAACATTAATTTACTAAACAAAAGTTCTTTAGATAAAAAAAGGCACCTAGTGAGTAAGTCACAGTTGGTCCCCATCAGCAGGCCACTCTTCTTGTTTTGCCTCCTGCAAATCCTATCCCTTCTTCCTGTGTAACACAAGTTAGACTCTACCTATTAGCATGTGCCCTCAAATGAGATGTGAGAACTTACTTGACCCAGTGCAGGTCATAAGATTTCAGAGAAAAGAGTTGTCTTTGGAAAGAGGATAAGGGTCTAAGGATAGGGAGAATTGGGCTGATGCCACCAGTCGGATGCCTGCACACTCGGTGCTTCCTGTCACTTGGGATGAAAAACCTTGCTCTTATCACTTGCTGTGTGCACAGCACTTCCCAGTTTACAAAGCACATTAATTCCCATACTTGGGGATCCTCACTGCTGCCCTTTGAGACATGGAGGACAAATATAATCACTCTTGTGGTACAGATGAAGAAACAGGCTCCAGGAAGGGAAGTAACTTACTTGCTTAAGGTGACAGTCAGATGGTAAGGGGTAACTTGGAGGCTGTGTGACACTTGAGGAAAAAAACAGGACTCCAGATCATAAAACAGGTTTACATCCTGGTTTCCATGCTAACTAGCTGTGTAAGGTTGGAGTACTTAACTGCTCTGAGTTTATTTCTTTATCTGTAAATAGGAATGTTATCAATTGGTTGCTGTAAGGATCAGATAACACAATATCATGTGATCTATAAAGGGTTGTGCCCTGTGAGGGTTTTTTAAAAGGAGCAGTAGGTGGCCTCAAGAGGTCAGAATCAGGTACCCAGTGCTCTTGGCCCTCTACCACACTGCCTCAGCCCTGCCTGTTCCTGGATACCACTTCACTCAGGATCCTTTTCCCGTGTCAGTCCCTGTTCCGTTGCCAGCTCGGAAGCCACCCTCTCCTTCCCAGCTACTTTGAGGACTGCTTTACTGATTGCTTGTTGATAACCCCTCCCTCAAGAGCTGCCTGGAGCCAGCTGTACTTCCAGTCTCTGGGGCCTTGTGACTGCTGGTCAGAGTTCCCTCCTTGCCTTCCTGCCTGGGTCAGCCCAGTGCTGAGCTTGTAGGGGAAGAGGTCCCAGTCATGCTGCCACACCCTCTCTCCTGCTGTGTGTGGAACTGAAGATTTACAGATTCTGAAGTTCTCTCGAAATGCCAGGGTTCCCAGATAATCCACTGGACACAAGCATTAGCACCAACACCCCCTGACAGCCCCCTCCCTAAGATGCTCTGTTTTTTTCCCTAAGGAAGAAGACACATACTCCTAAGATGAATGTGCCCTAACTTGCCCCCATGTTTCAGGCCTCATGCATTTGCTGACTGACTCAGCCCTCTTACCCAACCCCCAACCATGTGCTCCTGGGGCATTTCCTACTCCCATCATCCAAACCAGCTTCCAAGCTCTTGATGTCTCATTTAATACACCTAGTTCTCCTGTCATGGACATTTTCCTTTGAATTTCATGGATTGGGAAACTGAGGCCCAGAGAGGGTGTCTCCTGCATGGTTGCAGTGAGTCAGCAGCAAAGCAGAGCTGGGTCTATGGCTTAGGTTAGGTCTCTTGATTTCCAGTCTCCACTGCCCTAGAGGGCCCTTATCTCCTTCCCAGACCCATTTCCCAGAGGCCCTCTATCCTCTCTTCTGAAGTTGAACACATACAATTACTCATGCAAATAAAATGGAAATACTTGTAATGCAAACCAGAGAAGCAACCTTCATAGAGTTAAACCATTTCCCTCCTAGCTGGTCCCCAGGGAGAGAGGACCAAGCCCTGGGTCCTCTGCAGTTCCCACACCACCAGGGTTCTTTTTCTGCTTCCCAGTGGGGGATTCACCCTCTCCCCCACATTGGATTCTTGAGGCTTTTAAACCAGTGGTTGAGAGGTCAGGCTGGGGAGTATGGGGTTCTCGGACCAGAGTACAGTCTTGCAGTGTGTAAAGTGAAATGGAAAAAATGGACCAGGGGTAATTGATAGTGCTTAGGTGGTGCAAGGCATACTTAGAGATCTGGGTGTGTCTGAAACAGGGCTGTCCCCTCTCACGGAGCAGGGACTTGACTGTGGGAGTCAGAGAAAGGAAGTCACATACTGGCCAGAAAAAGTCCCCCATGGCCAAGAGGAAGTAGCCAATGAGAAGAGGACCCTTGCCACAGCAATATAAATAATCACAGGGTTTCTGGAAGCTCTGTTCTATTCCAGAACTCAGAAGAGCAGTTCCTCACCCCAAGGCCCTGTGAGCTGCAGAGGGGACCAGAGTAATGGATAGACCTGGGAAACCTCTCATACTTACCAAACTAATAATTATAACAGCTGTTTATTTGGTATTTCCTATGTGCCATGCCTCATGCCAGACACTTTCTACACATTAGCTCATTTCATGTTCGAAGCAATTCTAACACAATAGGAAAGATTATCCTCATTGTACAGATGAAAAAATTGAGGCTCAGGAAACTTAAATATGTTGCCCGAGATCATGCATGACTGGTTGGTAGAGCTGTGATTATAGAGTCTCGGGCTAGTGACCCCAGCATGTGTTCTCAGTAATAGTGCTTTTTAATGGCATTCTGTTTTCTATCCAAGAGTTTGGAACTTTCTGAAATTCTTCAGAGGCACATGCCGTCATGGTCTCAGGAAAGGGGCAGAAGACTAAGGGGAAAACCAAGTTGTCTTATTCTTCTGTTCATCCGTCGGCTGGGCTTGGAGGACCTGCCTCACCCCACCAAAGGTCTTCAGAGGAGATGCTGATGTCTGAGAGCCACAGCCTCTGCCTTATACATCATTACATACCCAGATTCCAGGCCAAATCCCAGCCCTGGCTCAGTCTGCAGTGCTTCCCTGCACTGACTTGCCAGCCTGGGTATTCCTTATTTAGCAACTAGAGTACACCTTCTGGTTTGCACTCGGCAGGCAAGATGTTAGGTTTGGAGTTAAACTGGTAGATCCCTTTATTTGTGCACCCACTTTTTATGTCTATACTGCCAGAGAAAAAATAAAAGTACTTAATACTTAGTGAATGCTTATTTTAACCAAGCACTGTTCTAAATGCTTCCCGTGTGTTAATTTACATAATCTTCACAACCACCCAATGAGGTACTACTTTACAGATAAGAAAACTGAGGCATAGAGAGAGGATAAGTAATTTGTCCAGGGTCACACAAATATGATATAACAGAACCAGGATTTGACCTTAGTTTGGTACCAAAATTTACGTGTGTCACAGGATATACGTTATAGTGCCAGTCTCCCTCCTCACACCTGAGCATCTTTGCTTGGTCTCAGGGTATCTCTGTCACTGTATCTGTCTTTCTGAGGTCTGTCTTGATGAGATTGTAGGATGGTGTCAGGTTAAGAGAACAGGAGCTGAATTCCCTCTGTATGCCCCCATCCTTTCTCTCTAATGGGTAGAAGCCTCCCTAACCAAGAACATCCCTCTTGTCTATCTGTAGGTCACTGTATCCACACCAGCCCAGAAGGGGAAGGAGGCATTGCCTCCACTGCAGCAGCCACGCCCACTATGCAGAGCATCAAGTGTGTGGTGGTGGGTGATGGGGCTGTGGGCAAGACATGCCTGCTCATCTGCTACACAACTAATGCCTTCCCCAAAGAATATATCCCCACGGTGTTCGACAATTATAGTGCCCAGAGCGCAGTTGATGGGCGCACAGTGAACCTGAACCTGTGGGACACAGCGGGCCAGGAGGAGTATGACCGCCTCCGCACACTCTCCTACCCTCAGACAAATGTCTTTGTCATCTGTTTCTCCATTGCCAGTCCACCTTCCTTTGAGAATGTGCGACATAAGTGGCATCCAGAGGTATGCCACCACTGCCCAGATGTGCCCATCCTCCTAGTGGGCACCAAGAAGGACCTGAGAGCCCAGCCTGAAACCCTACGGCGCCTCAAGGAGCAGGGCCAGGTGCCCATCACACCGCAACAAGGCCAGGCACTGGCCAAGCAGATCCATGCTGTGCGCTACCTCGAGTGCTCAGCCCTGCAGCAGGACGGCGTCAAGGAAGTGTTTGCTGAGGCTGTCCGGGCTGTGCTTAACCCCATGCCAGTGAAGCGCGGGCGGTCCTGTGTCCTCTTGTGACCCAGGCACGCAGCTTGGAGGCTGCCCCGCCCCCCCACCAGTTGTGCCTTGGCGCCTTGTCTGCCCCCAGCTGTGCCTTAAGGACTAATTCTGGCACCTCTTGCCAGGGAGTTCTCTGAATACCTATTTCTCCTTATAGAGGCCCATAGGGAAAGGGTCTTTGTGCCCAGTCCCACTCTGCTTGGGAGAACACCAGGCATTCTTGAGAGCTAACCCAGGCCGAGGTTGGGCCCTTCCCCAAGAAGCCAACCAAGTGCCCCATCCCATTTTCCTCTACTGACCAGTTGATCCAGCTTTCTATACCAATGTTGCTGCCTATCGTGGTGCCTTCTCAGGTTAGGAGCTCTCAGCTATCCCTAACCTCTCCCTCGCTGCTCTCTGAATTGCTCTTCCCTCCAGATGTTCTCTCCCTTCCCCAAAGAAGGAGCCACAGAATCCTCAGAAGATGAATGTGCCCTAACATACCCCCATGTGTCCAGGCCTAATGCATCTGCTGACTGACTCAGCCCCCTGCCCCCTTGGGCTCCTGAGGGCCTTTCCTACCCCCATCAGCATCAATAAAACCTCCTGTCTCCAGTGGCCCCTGCTCCTCCCTGTGTGCTGGGCATTGGGGGTTGGGCAGAGGATAGGCATGGGCTAGGACTCCCCAGAGACTGGGAGCCTTTTGTTTCTGGCAAGAGGGGACAGGAGACAATAGACTGCATTGTGGTCCCCCCACCCCCCAATTTCCCTAACAAAGCTCTGGGCTCCCTTGGAGGGGCTAGACTTGCTCTTGGGCCCAGCCACAGATTCTCTAGTGGACTGGGATGCAAAGTATGAGGAAAAACTTCCTGATCTAGGGCTCAGAAAGGGAAAGGTTGAGAGCCATCAGCCTGCAAGCTAGTGTTCTCACAGTCATATACTTGAAAGCTGTCCCCTAGGACAGATCTTTACTGACAGTTGAGGCTGGAACTCGGCCTTTGCCCCAACCCAAGACTCTCTCCCCAGTATCCTAGCTTCCAGGCTTGGAGTCATTACAGGGATAGCATGGTCATTGCTGTTCACCAAAACTGGGGCTTAGACCAACCTTAGGAGACTCCAGGCCTAAAAGGAGTGGGATGCCACTGGAATCATACCTTGCCATGCTTACTCCCCCCATCCTGGAGCCTGTTCCTCACTTTAGTTCCACTATACAAAGACACAAGCCCCAAGACAAGCAAGCCTCGCCCAGACTGTTGGGAAAGAAAAAATTTATTTTCCTTTAAAATAAAATATACAACTAAAAGAGGTCAGGATTGGGGGAAGAAATCTGCTTCTGACCCCTCCACTCCATACCTTTGTTAAGGAAGTGTTGGTAAGGAAGAGATTTCAGAAGGGAAGGGAAATAATACATGCTGTGCCACTGCCTTTTCAGGAGCAAGTCATCTTTTGGGTACAGAACACCATCTCCACAAGATGATGTCAGAACAACAGACTGTCAGAGCCCTTGTAAATCATACAGCCCACCTACCCGCCACTGTCCACAAGGACACACGGAGGCTCAGATAGGGAAGGGCACCCACCAAATCAGAGGTGGAGTCAGTACTAGAACACCTGGGACATCTTAGCAGGGGCCTGCGGCCATAGGCTTCAACGTACACAGTGGATCATTAGACCTGTTACGTTAATCAAGCGAAGGACTCCATGAAGAGAAACAGCTGTGGTTTTCAGGTAGCAGCCACTGCTCAGTGGTCCCTGACCTCAGCAAGAGGTGGCTATGCAAAGGCCAAGAACCGATGGTGGTTATGAACCCCAAGACTTTTTTTTTTTTAGCACCAGATGGTGGAGCTCAGCTACTTGGGGCCTCTCACATAAGGGTGATGCTGTTGGAAGTTTCCTGTGCCTTCAAGTGGGGTGGGGAAAAGAAGCCAGCAGGGTTGGGTAAAGCCTGTCCTGGGCTCTTCCTCCCTTGTCCCCCCTCACCCTTCCCCCCACCCCAAGCTTCAATAGGGCCCAGAGAGGACACAGGCAGGGAAGGTCAGAGCAGTATCTTGTTTGTAGTTTCTGGGCAGTGGGCCACCTCTCCCTAGCAGGAGAGAAGGAATTAGAATCGCTTTTCCTCAGGTTGGGAGGTAATGAGCAGCTCCTTGTTCCCGAAGTCCCACCAGGCTGTCATGTGGAACGCCATGTTGGTTAGGACAACAGTGTACTCCAGGATGGCAAAGATGGTGTACACTGTTGTGGGGACACAAGAGGCCATGGTGAGCCTCCTGCCCCTGCCCCAACCCACTGCCCCCGGGACCTCTTGATAAATCACCACTACTAATCACTACACAGTGAACACAACAGAAGTCAGCCCCCAACACCACTACCATATAGCATCTCATAGAAAATATCACGACTGTCCCAGAGTCACTGTGACCAACTACAGACCCTAGCCTGGCCTCACCTCCAGCCTCACAATACATGTTGTGCCGGAAGTAGACAGCCAGCGCAGTGAAGAAGGAGACGAAGTTGATGATGAACAGCCGCTGTTTCCAGTTGTAGGACTTGCGATCCTAGGGGTGGGCTGTCTGGTCACTCTGCAGCTTGCTGGGTGTGTGTGGGCAGCTTCCCTTCTTAGCACCCACTCCTAAGGTCTGAGTCTTACCCAACTTGGTCATAGAAGGGGGCACAGGTAGGGGCAGCAGGAATGATGGGCATGTTCACATCCCTACATTTGGGGGTGTAATTAGGCAAGGAGCGGTGATGTCCCTGCCCCGCCTACTTTGGGGGAAATGGAGTATGAAAGTTACTTGGAGTCACCCACCAACCTAACACCTCCAGATACTGTGGGGAAAAGAAAGATGTGTGTGTTCGGGGCAGAGAGTTGGAGTTATTACAGACCACAGACCCCTTAAGAGTTCTTAATCCAGGCAGCCTAGGGGCTGCCCTTCATTCTACCCTCATTTGGAGCCTACATCTCTTCTATTCTCCAGTCCCCCAAACAGAGTCCAATCTTCCACCACTGGTCCCCAAGCCCCTACCCCTGCCAGCGGACCCATTAGAACTACAGTTCCCACCTCACCGTTACCGCATCCTGAGGACACGTGTCCTTGAGTTTCCTCTGGGCTGCCTGGAGCCCCACTAGAGGTAGACCGTACCTCCTGACTTACTGTGTGCTTCTTGGTCAGCCGCCAGAGAATACAGGTGAGGAGCATGTGACCGAGGGATGAGGTGATGAACACAATGAAAGCATTTTCGTGGATGGCTGGAGGGAAAAAGGAGGATTGGGAGGCACATTACAGGGAGCATCCAAACCCCTATGTCTGAAGGTTGTAGTGCAGGAGGGGCGGGGCCATCCTTCCCAGATCCCTTCCCCACTCCTCCTTCCCTCATCCAAACACCCACTGAAGTCCTCGGAAGAGGAGACGTAGGTGAGTGCTAGAAGTGAGAGGTTCTCCACCACGTTGAGGCCAAAGTTGAGGCGGCAAAGCGGGCGGTAGCCGGGACACGGGGAGGCGCAGCTGAGGTAGTGGTTCCAGTAGGCGAAGGCCACCAAGAAGCGGGGCGCAGAGTGCAGGCCGATGCAGAAGCGCCACACGTAGCGCTGGGGCACCTCACCGCCGATGGCCGAGCTCACCGATGGCAGGTAATTGGGCACCTAGAGAGTTGTGACCCATCTGGGCACCGGTCTCCGCCTTCCCCACCCACCAGGAAATCCTTCTTTCCATCTACCAACATTATTCGGGCCCTCAGAAGACTTCCCCAGCCCCTTCGCTTCCAGGAAGTCCTAGTTCTGGTGCCCTCAGAGCACTTCCCGAAGACCTCCCCTTCCAGGTGCCAGGCCGGGAGTGTACTTGGTTCTTACTGCCCAGCCAGATTCAGTCCCAAGGGCAGGAATGAGTCACAAACCATTTGAGTTTCCTTAGGACAGTGCTGGATTCACTGCCCAGCTGAGCTGTTCCTATGACTGCTCCCAGCTCCACTTACTCCTCTGGGCAGGTGTGCCAAAGTGGTAGAAGGTACTGTGAGACTGGGGAAGCTGAGTCAGAATGGTACCCCCATCCTGATCATGTTTAAGGAAGTGGGTGCTCCAAACCTGGGAGTAATCTAAGAAAATGACCCTGTTCTTGTACATTTCTTCCAACCACCTTTCTCAAAGCCTGGAATTCCTCATTCCTTAAGAAACTGGAGAGTCATTCTTTCAAGATGAGGATGGAGAAGGAGATGATACACAGCTGCAGGGACTGGTATTGCTTGTATTGGAGGGTGAGAAGATGGGGAATGAATAAACAGTAGTATAGATCCCAACTCAAAAAGCCAGGAATGGGATGAGGATCTCTTGGACTCCAGGGCGTATACCACTGCCTCTCACACTTTATATGCATGCAATTCCCCAGGGACTGTGTGAGACTGCAGGTCTGGAAACTGAGAATCTGCATTTCTAAAAGATTCGACTAGTAGTGGAAGCTACCAATCTAGTGCCCACACTTTCCATGGATTTTTTTAGATTTCCAACAAGGGTCAGTGCCCAGCAACCCAATGAGGGAATTACTCTGTTTGTACTCTGGCAGGACCATTCTTCAGGGATGGAGTGCTGGAAAATCCCTTCCTTTCTCCCAATGGGGACTCTGAATGGTTCTCTGTCACAGGTGGATAATAATGGAGGCAGCTCACAGGGCAGGGATGGGCCTGAGGCTTCACAGCCTTTACAGAAAAGGAGATGTATTCCCCTCAGCACTGTTGGAGTAAACCAAGTGCAGAATTCTCAAAGAGACGGTGCTGCTCTCAAGGCCATGGCTCAAGATAACATAGTTTGAGACCAGGCTCAGATATTCACTGTGAGTTGTCAGTGAAGAGGTAGCTCAAAGGCTTTGGAGCTGCACAAACCCAGGTCTGTGTCCCAGCTCTGACTTCATTAGCTGGGTGACCTTGAGCAAGTCACTTCACCTCTCTGAGTTCAATTTCCTCATTGGCAAAATAGGGAGAACAACCTACATGGCAGAATGATTGTGAATATTAACTATAATGTATGCAAAGCATCTGCAATGTCTGGCACACAGTGGATACAAGTGAAGGTTTTCAGAAGACAAACTTCCCTGAAAAGCCTGCAAATGTGTAGCTGTTGAACATGGCAAAGCATGCATATGAGTAAGAGGTGGAAGTTATATTTTCACCAGTTTTCTGGGACCCCCAACCTTCCTTACTGTTTTCTCTCTCTGAGTAGGTCTCCTAAGTAGGATTAGTGGGAGTACTGCCTCCACTTTCTAGAACATTCATTCTGAAAACCCCTGCCCCAATCTCAGCTATTTTATGGGGAACAGAACCAGCACCTAAAACTTGGCTGGAAGGGCTCAGATTCAAGGGCCCCCAGCCTTGACCAATGCTGGGGAACAAGTAAAGGGTAGAGATGGCACAGAGTTGGGGGATGCCTCAGAAGGAAGGGAGAAGAATTAGGGCCCTGTGGCTGCTGGTCCTGTCCTCACTAGCTCCTCTCAGATTAGGGGTGGGGGCAAGATTCTGAGAGCAGGGATTGCCTTTCATCTCACACACACACATACATACACACTCACACATGCACACATAATCAGGTATAGATACTCATATACATATACATACCCCCATCCCAAGCATACAAGTTTCCTACTCACCAACTATGCCAGCAATAAGCAACATCAGGAGCTACCAGAAACCAGGTACCCAGCTCACCCAACTCTTCCCATGAGCCCAGAGCTAAGGGTACTGAGAATGGGAATATAACCCCTTTCCTCAAGAACTGCAACTCTTTGGCCTGGAGGACAAAGCTTGGTGAATCTGTGGCAGGGCAGCAGATCAGAAAATCACATGGTATAAAGGGAGGGGGTCCAAAAACTTCCCTATCATAGCAACTCAGAATTCACCATTAGTGATTCATTCCTTTGGCCTCAGACAAAAGTCCCCTGAAATTATGGATGACTTTTCTACCTACCTTACTGTCTCCTGTGCTCCTTCTCAACTGACAAAAACTCCCATTCCTGTCAGTTCAATCTGCTACTCTTCTCCGGACTCCATCCCCATGTCTCTATCTTCATAGTTCCCACCTTAGCTCTGGTCTCCCCAGTATCACGAGCTACTACACTAGCCTCATTACTGGTCTCCCTACTCTTGCCCCTGCTCTTAAATCTGTACTCCATTCAGGAGACAGATAGTCTTCCAAAACACAAATCTGATCGTGTCCTTTTCCTGCTTAAAATCTTTCCAAAGCTCCCCATTCCCTCTGGATAAAATCGAAAGTTGTCAGCCTAGCATTCACAAACATCCTTCTTCACCCCCACAGCAACAATGCTCCCTCCTCTAGGAAGAAAATCTTCCCCAACATCCAAGCTGCTTATGTGCTTTGGGCCCTGTAATCCCTGTGCCCCCTTTATCACAATAGGAGTCCCATCTCATTGTGTTGTAGTTCTGTGTCTAGGACTCTCTTGGAATAAGATGGTAAAGGCAGGTCCATGTTCAATTCCATGCCCCTGACACAGCACCTCTACCACTGCGCCTTCAGGAAAGGCCTGGTGGACTGCTCTTGGAGGCAGAAAGTCCTTCTAGGTTTCTAGCTGGCAGAGCCCTGACTGGACAGGTTGTGGGGCCTAAGGCTGCCAGAGGAGAAACCAAGCTAGAAGATCCCAGGGTAGGACTGGGCTAATGCCTTATCTAACTTCCTCAGTCCTGGCTTCCTTTCCAATCAGTCTTCCTTCAGTTTCCCCCTCCCTCTCATGATCTCAGTTGCCTCTTCCCACTCCCTTCCCTTCCCCCTCTCCCCTCTGCTCTCTTGCACTCTCTATCATCTTCTACTCTTAGAGAGAGACTCTCTGAGCCTCTCTCCCCAAATTCCCTCTTAACTCTGACATGTAGCCCAGCCTCCTCTTATCCCTTCCCCCTCTCTCTGACCCTCTGTTTTCTTTCCTACTCTGATTCCACCCTTATCACTTTCTCTCAACCTGGCCCTGACCCAAGTGCTGGGGAGCCTGGCACTCACCCCACAGTCAGTGGCCACTGTGTACTCAAAGTGGAACACCAGGGACCAGATGATGCAGAAGAAGAAGCCAAACACGGGGAAAGTGATGACCCACCAGACCATGGCCGTGAAGTGGAGCCGGAACACGGTCCCATCAGAGTCCAAGGGCTGGGAGGCTGCAGAGAACATCCTGTAGGGAGTGGTGCCCAGGCAAAGCAAGGAACACAACTTAGGGTCTGGTGGGATACCTGGGCCAAGGAAAACGTGGCCTTTTCCAGAGCTGGGTCCACAGGGTATAGGAAAGAAACAGGATAGAAAGAGTAGAAAAGACATAGGGGACAAAGGAAAAGAAGAGAAGGAGGTGCAGAGGAACATGGGCAGGAACAGCAGAGACAGGCAAGATCAGCTCTTAGGAATACCCTTGGCCTTGGCAAACTGGTCCTGCAGACGCACCTCTTGAAGAGCCTGGAGAATAGAGATTTTCATGGCCTGGACATGGGAGTTTTGATGGCCCACCTCATTCTCACAACCCTCATACCACTCAGAAGGGTCAGAGGTGGAAAGGTGATTGTTCCTATTCCACAGAAGGGGAGACTGAGGCCTAGAACTATGCCAAGATCAAACATTAGGATCAAGGTCTCTTCTCACCTGACAATTTAAAGGTCCAAGTCAAGGCTTTCTTCACACCAAGTAACTTAGACAAAGGACCCTGGCTGTACTGGCCCAAGCCCTCCCACTGACCCCGTCTGACCACATTCCTGCTCTTCACCCAAGTTCAACTAGGAACAGTGGGAGTGCTGCAGAACCTACTTCAGTGGGGCCACAGGCTTCCAGCTATCCCACCCCCAGTCTCAGAATGATCTAAGCCTTAGGCCAGCAGTACCCTCATCTCAAGATACCAGGGTCTCTGCTGAGGTCCAGACCTCTATCTCCTTCCTCTCTGAAAAGACCAAGTCACCCAATCCAAGGTTTTTGGGAATCTGAGGGTCATGGGGACCTTCTCTACTCAGCTTGAACCTGTTGTGCCGGGCCAGACTCAGCAAGGACAGACCCAGACTAAGGGCACTAGGCTTCCTCTGCTCCCTTCTCCCACTAGGCAGAGAACTCCCTACTCCCACCACCCCACCAGTAACAACCACCATGACCCCTCACACTGGGTTCCCTTCTTCGGGGCAAACAGAGATGGCTTTGTATTAAAAGGCCTAGGACCAAATGTCCCCTGGGGATTCTTCCATTAGGGGATGCCTAGTTACCAGTCCATCTCAGCCTCAGACAGTGAGGTAGGGATCAGAGGGGCCGCGTACTGAGCAACACTCACAGTGGATGCTGAAGGATCCTGGGCTTGAGTTGAGGGCTCAAGCCAGACTGAGACTGTTCTAAGATAGGAAGGTTCCACCCCCAGCTCTCCAGGGCCTGCCCTCCCACCCACAGAGGCCAGATCTCCATGCCTGCCCAGGCACACAGCGTTCCAAAGACCAACAAGGCCACATCATCAATCTTGGAACACTCTGCAAAGGTAAGAAGTGATAGGAGCTAAGGGCAGCCCACAGCAGCTTCTTTGCCAAGGATGTGTGTCCAAGGATTGTGTCCAGGGATACAGGCAGGTTTCTGGGAAGGGAGAAGGAGAAAGCAAAAGAAGATTTTGCCCATTTTTGTTGGAATAAGACTGAGTATGTTTGTTGGGATCCATTGGAGAGCTGGCTTATCTTAGGACAACAGATTCAGGATCCAAAAGAGATCTAGGCCTCTAGAATCTAGGTCTCAGAATATGCTATCAGTGTTCAGCCTGTATCAGGGCTGAAACAGCTAATCACAGCTCAGGATGCATTAACAGAGGTCTAACAGCCAGTCATAAGAATGGAACAGTCCTGCTTTAGCCTCTACTATCCGGGCCATATGAAGTCCTAAGCCCAGACCAGGGTATACCAGGTGTACCAGAGAGAGAGAGAATGGTGACCAACAGGGCCAAGTTCACAGGCATTTGACTTACAAGGGTTGCCTGATGAGACTGGAGCTAGGCTGCCTAAGGAAAGTAGACTCAGGGACACCCAACCCCCACCCCACCCCCAATTACTGCCTTCCTGTCTCTGCAGGGCTAACTTGAAGCTCTAAGGCTCCCAAAGCAGAGCCAGGGCTAAGGCAGAGATTCACCAGAAGGCCAGTGTATGCTCACTGTAAGAAAGAGTTTGCTAATTGTTAGTTACTAAACCTCCTTGGAATATACTGCCTGGGGAGGAAGGAAGCTCCCCATCACTGGACGTGTGCAAGCAGAGACGCAATCATCTAATTATAGATGTGTTACACTTCTTTTATTCCTAGGATTGGTCATTCCTGTGATACTCTAGATGAGAAATTCAGAGCATATATGAAAAATTCCAAGGTGGATCCAACATGGTAGTCCTAGGGAGTGGGGACAAAATATCCCCAGGATAGCTAGTCTTGGTCCTGCCCCAGAGGGGCCAGGTACCCCTACTGCAACTACCTGTGCTTTAACTCCCTAACTAGTATGCCAAGAATACATTATAAGTATGCTGATGTTACTGATCCCATTAACCCTTGGAGCCAGCCAAGAGGGGCAGAGCCTACTTCATTTAATTCCATATGCCATACAAATATTATACTTTTCTATAGGGACTATGACTGCATTACACCATGCCTGCCTTCTGCCAGGCCATTGACCTGGGGGGGTCCTATCCATTTATTCAACCAACATTTTCCATTTTCAGGTACAGTGCCCACCTTCAAGGAGCTCCCAGTCTGGTGGGGCAGACAGATAAAAATATAGTGTGGTAGAATTGTGTGACAGAGAACACGGAACTATAGGAGATGGGAGTGATTAAGTCTGCCCCAAGTAGGCTAGGGAAGGCTTTTCAGAGGAGGAGACACATGAGAAGGGTTTCTGCAAGATGAAGAGAGCTGGTCACAGTAAAAGAAACATTTGATGTGTTATCTAAGGTTAAAACAAGGTGAGGAAAAGCCATTGTTTAGATCGACCTGTTCAGATCATCTGATCTTCCAGTCTTGTTCTTAGAACATACAGCTCCCAGCCCTGGGACTCAGAAGATGGGCTTCCCACAGCTCTTGGCCCACATCTACCCATTGACAAATCAGGAAGAGGGAAAATTTCAAGTCATATGAACCAAAGAAGTAGGCCCCCAATCCCATACTGCCAGTCAGACCACACTCCTAGTTACAGCTCTTTTTCTAGAGCAAATGTTCTTCATAGGAAGGCCAGAAGCTCAGCTGACTGGGGGTCTTCAGAGATCTCTCTGAGGCTAGTCCAAGGGTCCATGTCCAAGTTCTGCCTCTTTTCCACCCAGATCCCCTAAGCTAACTTCTCTTCTGCTCTGCCTTCCAACCTGACAATCTCCTTTTCTTCCTCCTTCTGCTCCTCACCCTTCACATTTCCCCAAACCACCTTCCTATCCTTCCTCTACCTGGAGCTCTACCCTAGCCCTAGAAAGGGAAGAGTAGGAATTACCAATGAGAATTTTAGACATGGGAAAACTGAGGCTCAGTCTGTGTCTCAGGTAATATAGAGTCAGTGGATAAACTAGGAGTATACGAGGTCTCACCCTCCTTACTAAAATACCCTGCAGAGAAAAACTCACATCTTTCTTCCTAGCCCAGCACACCACATCTTTGTCCAGAGGGTGCATGGCTACCTATGGCACCTCAGAGGGCATGGGACCTACCCCAGAACACATATATACACATATAATCAAGTCCCCATCCAGATGGGCACAGACATAGTCTCTCTTAATACACATAGCCACTCAAAGCCACTATAGACAGTCATGTGTCTCATACTCACTCATGCAAAATCACATTCCCACAGAGATGGGCACAGCACCACATGAAGAGGCCCTAAATGCCCTCTAGCCCAGACCTGTTCTCTCTCCACTCCCCAGGAAACCCTGGAGCTCCTGAATCTTCCCTTCTATGAAGTAAGGATTGGGTTCTGGGTTCTAGGGGCTGCAACTTCAGGGACCCCAGCCCCCAGTGACCTTCTTGGAAAGTGGAGGGAGGTTATTTCTTGAGACCTCAGTTTGCAGATATCTCCCCAGCACCCCAGTGCTTGATAGGCCCCATTGGAGAGCTGCTAATCCTGTTATAACAGAATCAGGGTCCAAAAAAAGATCCAACTAGGCCTGAATAAGAGGTATCAGTGGCTCCCCAAGCCCTACCCCACAGTGTGTGGCCGTAGTCTCCTTGAAGTGGAAGAGCAGGGACCAGAGGATGCAGAAGAGGAAGGCGACAAGTGGACAGCAGACTGTGGCCAGGGCCACCAGGGTGAAGCGAAGCCGGACCAGGGTCCCATCCCGGTCCACTGGCAGTGGGACCTGGTACATCTTGTCAGACCTGGGGATGGAGTGGTGTGCTGTCAGGGCCCAAGGCAGCCAGGCTGAGAGTCGGCGGGGAAGCCAGCCCCTGTGCTCAGCTTAGCTGTGCTATGGGTTGGAAGGAAGCCATGTAGCCCCTAAGCTTAGACTGCTCCTACACTGGATGAAGAAGACTGATTCAGAATCCTAAGAGAACACCCTCAATTCCAGAGGAGAGACAATGAACCAAATCTGTGCTAAGATGAAGCTTGAATAGATTGGGAAACCTTCTTACCCCTATACCTGGCTTGACAGGCCTGGGACTACAAGAGCTGGTTTAACTAGTCTCTCTTGTTTCAGGAACCAATCCAAAACCTCCCAGTGGACATCTCTCCATCAACACCTCCCATCAGCTCTCACAGCTTCACCCACTGGCCCAGGGCCCTTCTGCACCTTCAGTCTCTTTCCCAGCTCTGTATGCCTGCACCACAGTCCACAGCAGCAAGGACTCCATGGAAGCCAACAGAACCTGAACCCCTTGCTTGTCCCCGTCTGCTGCCTCATGTGCTCTGAGGGTGAAAGGCTTTGCAGAATCAGGCCTGGTGCTAGCCTGGGCTTGCTGTTTGTTGGAAAGATCTGCCTGATCAGCTTCTGGAGGCTTCCCGGTGCCCAGGGACCTGTCCACCACCCTCTGTAGGCTAGGACCCCCTACTCAGATAAGGGTATCTACAGGTCAGGAACTATAGTAGCTGAGTATACACCAGTAATCCTAGCCCAGCCTCCCTCCGTGCATAGAAGGGGAAGTTGAGGCCAAATGAGGGGCTGAACATGCTTAGGGTCACACAGAAAATAGAAGGAAGAATCAGCAGTGGAGAGATGTAGGACAACTAGAGCCAAAAAATGCAATTCTGGTCTTCGTTGGCTCCTTCCAGAGCCCTGAACAGAAAGGTCAGTTTAGGTCAGGTTAGGAGGGGAATAAGAGGTACCTATCCAGAGGAGGCAGAAAGGTAAAAACCAAATCCCATATAGTTAAGTCAGTCAGCCTGTCCCTATTGCAAAGACAAAGAAAACAAGATGCAAAGAGAGAAAGGCCTTTCCTCAAAGCCATTGGCTGAACCTGAGGGAAAGTCATCCTCTGAATTTAGGGTTCTTTTTGCCAAAGTAGGGCTGGCTCCAGAAACATGAAGAACCCGCCCTTCTGGACTCATGGATTTTGTCAGATTAAGTCCCAGCTCTTCGGGCCCTGTCTTCAGGAGTCTCCCTTCTAGTCCCACTTTCAGGAAGAACCTGACCTCAGTGAGGCTGTGAGGCTGGCCTCCTGGCATTCCTGAACAAACCAGGTGGATAAGCCTCTGCATTCTCATCCATCTTCTCCCACCCACCTCTCTGCCTGGCCCAATCAGGCAGCCTGCCCCAGCTGCTCAGGTGGGACCAGGGATCTCCCAAGGGAGTTGTAAGTGGCTCTGGTGACCCTCCCAAATCAAACATTCCCCTTGGATCATTCCCCAATAGACTGTAAGTCCCTGAATGCACTAGAAGGTGAACACCTCTCCAGTCAAACCAAACCCATATTCTATGGTTATAGTGGCACGACAACCACTATAGTCCCCTCTCTGGACATCCCTCCCTAAACCCAGCTGCTCTGAATCCCTCAGGGACCACTGGGCTCTCCAAACGCAAGACTAGATACTCAGAGAATGAAGAGGCACTGCCTAAGGCATGGAGTGATAAAGAGATTCAAGGAACAATCAGTTTCATTTCTGAGAGGTATTCCTAGCCTCCCTCTTAGCTGTGTGACCTTGGGCAAGTTACCTAACTACTCTGGGCCTGTTTCCAGTTGTGCAACATAGAGATCCTGGGATTTAGGTAACTGATAAGGCCATTCCAACTTCGGTCATTCTACTCCTCCAGGCCTCAGGAGCAGCTCACTACCTGAAAAGCAGCTGTTCAGCTCTAGTGAGCTCTAACTTCCTCATACGTACTCTCTTAGATGTACCCCTACCTTACCTCCAAAGGTCTCTGGAGATCTTTTCACCCTCCAGTTGGCATCTCCACTTACTGGGTGCCTTCTGAGTTGTAGGCACCCTGCTTAGAACTCAATATATATTCTTTCTTTCAATCCTCACTGTAGTCCTATGAGGTAGGTAATACAGCCTGTATAATTCCGTTTACAGAAGAACAAACTGAGGCTTAGGGAGGTTAAAAACACGTGCTCAGGGTCACAGGCAAAAAACTGGGGGGCTGGGACTTAAAACTAATCTGTGGGGTTCCAAGGCTCCCCACAGCTTCATCCCTAGAACCTAACGAGGAATTCTGACCAGCAGTCCCTGCTCAGTGAAGAAGGTATAGTTCAACCTCTGCAGTCAGCCCCATGTCGGGGAGCGGAGGCGAAAGGAGTCAGCGGCAGTTCCTGGCCAAGGGCCAAGAACTCGCAGTGCTGGCGGCCGGGCCCTGCAGAGGCCAGACCGCGTGGCGGAGCTCCCCCAAGTGGGGCTGTCCGGCGGCCCGGCTCACCCATGCTCATACTCACTCAGGCTGTGGCTGCGAGGAAGCCGCGCCGCCGCGGGCCGGTAGCCCGGCGGATCCGTGTTGGGGGGGGTGGGGGCGGGGGCTCAAGCCGAGCCCCGGAGCGAGCGCAGCGGGCGGGTCGTAGCGGGAACGCCAGGGGCGGGGTCGGCGCGCTCGGGGCGGAACTCCCGGAGGAAACTGTGCTCTGATCCTCTACTGGATCCTCCCCGCTTCTGCAGACCTGGACCCTCGGCTCTTCCCTTAAGCTGGCGTCCCCCGTAATCATGCTATGTATCTCTAGCTCTGGGCTGCCCCACTAATTCTGGCTGCGTGAGGGCAACCGAAAGAGCCCTGGACACCGGGGTATGCACGTTGGATAAGCCACCTTGTCACCTTACCTCTCAGTTGCGTTCCATCACCTGTTAAAAGAACATAAAATTAATTTAACAGGGCCCCTAATTCTATCATTTACTAACCCCAGTCTCTCCTGTCATTCCCCCAATCCTAGCCGAATTATCCAGCCTCGACCTTCTGAAAAATTAAACTAGTTTCGCCTTGGTCTCAGCGCCCCTCCCTCAAACATGGCTCCCTAGAGCCCACTCGGGGCATTCCGGCAAAGGAAGGGAAGAGAACCTTACTGGGTGGAGATCCAGAGGCTCACTTGAGGAACTCTGGGCCAGAGCTGTTCCCGCCTTTGATCAGGAGAGGGCGCCCTGATCTGTCGGACTTGGCACAAAGATGTACTGTCCCCTACCCCTTCCTGGGTATGTCCCGACCATAAAAGAGGGTTGGTCCCCAGAAAGCAGACCTCAGGATTCCCTGCTCACCTTGCCTGACCCACAAAGGAACCTGAGGGGGGGGTTCTTGGTTCCCTTTGCAAAGACCATTTCACTCCAACAGGGTAAGAGGGTGAGGGACCAGTAATCCTTCCCGTAGACACAACGGGGCTTGTCAGAGCCCCTAGAGGGAGTGGAGGACTTTTGAGCTAAACATGGTTATCATCACATTTGTCCTATTTAAATCCCACAATAATAATTAGCACATTTTGAGCACCCTCTGTGTCCCAGGTACTTTACTACTTTTTATGCATTTTCTCATGTAATCCTCATAAAAACCCTGTGAAGTAAGCACTATTCATACTCTCTTTTTACCAATGGAAAACCAAGAAGGTAAGTTACCTATTAACACAGCAAGTAAATGTCAACCAGGATAGAAGTCTGGCCCCTGAGACTGTTCCATTAATCACTCTATACCATTAATCCTACAAGGAAACTGTAATTACCACTTTGCAGATGGAAAAACAGAGGCTCAAACTTTATTGACTTGCCAGAGCTCTTTTTCACGCATCACTCTTGTCCACTTACTCAGGATAGGCCTTCTTGTTGGCAAGCCCTGGGCTGAGAAATAGTGGGGGACCTAGAGGTATCTAGAGCTCACTCCAAGTCTGAAGAGAAGGTATCTTCCAAAAACTACTTTGTTGACTTTGAACCCACCCCACTACCCTGTCCTTTAAGGTCCCAGAGCAAATGAATGATTCCTAAGTCTTTACTAAAGGAACCACTGCCATTTAGTTTCAATAACTAGATTTAGGTTTTCTACCCTGGGCCTTTGTGTTACCCTCTTACTCTAGATCCAGCCCACAGATGCCTGCTCCTGGCCCTTCCTTGTTCCCTGTCTTGACTCCTTGTCTGATCCTTTGGCCCTAAATACCATACCCTGAGGCTAGGCCCTTCTCCCTGCCTCTAGACCACCCCAATGTCTGAAACTTGAGGTGCTTTAATCTTGCCTTTAGTTCTCTGGTGATTGGGCAATTCACCATACAGACCTGAGTCTCAGTTTTCTCATCTATAAAATGGTTTTAGGAATATCCACATCATAGGGTTATTGTGAGAATTAAATAAGGTAATAAAGCTGTGCGCCAGGCACACAGAAGGGGTTCAGTACACCATGGTTATTATGACTAGATCTGTAAGCTATAGTATGAATTCATCCTGAGTCTTTTCTGAACTGTGACCTCAGCTGTCACTGACCCTCTCTGAATCTGTTTCCTCTACTGTTAGTTCTGAAGACTATCACCTACCTTGGTATATGTGAGGAAAAGTGGAAGAATGAATAATATAAGGACTTTATGTACAGGCCCTGATTTGATCCTTTTAATAATCTAGTGAGATAAGTTTAATGAAATCCATTTTACAGATAAAGAAGTTGAACAAACATCTAAGCACCTAGTCTTGCCTTCATTTGGTAGGTACTCAGTGCTTGCTGAACTGACATTTGTCCATTGTCCAAGTAGCTGCTGCTGCTGTTGAAGACTTCCAGTGTCTCCATCTCTCCTGGTTGGTTTGCCTGGTGCTTGTACATACCCCAGAAAGGCCTGTGCCTGAAACAGCTTCACCATTTTCCAGCTTTAGCCACAATCACTCCCCTTGTCCACACACACATACCAGATATCCTAAGCTGACTGAGCATTGCTTTACAGGGATTTTCTAGCCCCCAGTAGTGTAGAGGGGAAGTTAATGTGGGATGTAGTTGTCAAGAAAAGCTTCCTGTAGATCATCTCCTTCACTAGCCTCCTTTCCCTCCTATCTCTCCATCATCCTCCCCGTGTACAACCACATTGTGTTCTTCTTAAAATATAGATCCGATCATGTTCCTCCCTTGATGCAATTTATTTAGTAACTCCCCATGGCTTTTAAGATCAAAAGCAAACCCTTAGTGTGGTATTCAACATCCTTCATAATCTGGACATCCTCTACTCCAACAATCACATATTTTACATTCTAGTTACACTCACCTCTTCCACGAGCTTTGTTCAGCTTCCTCCTTATCTCTCCTTAGATGCCGCGATCTGCTCACCTTCCCACTCCACAGGAAGCATTGGAAGTCCACCACACCTTTATTAGAGCTGACCTAAGTATAGCCAAATAACTTGTTGCCTGTTTCCCCTACCTTCCTGGGAGCTCATTTAAGGATGGAACCCTCACCTGTTCCATTTATTTCTGAATCTCTCAGCTTAGCCCAGGGACAGGCACAGTAGAAGCCCAGAAAATTGGTTGGGTTGATTTGATTGAACTGGGTTTTGAAGGATGGACAGGATTTAGACATTTAGGAACTGCAAGAAAGGCAATGAGGACAGATGCAGGAGTCGGGGTGGAGGAAGAGTGAGCATGGCTGGGAGTAGGTAAGAGGCAGGGACACAGACAGAGCTAAAGACATCTAATGTTTCAGGCCACGTTCTGTACCTGTCCTGTGGGCAGCCTCAAGAAGGTCTTCCAGATTAAGAGGGATTTGTTCTTTCTTTTTCTTTTTCATGGCAGAGATATCCTTCTTGGATGGTTTTAAACTACCCACCCCAGGCTCACCCAGTCTGCTCTAACCCTACTCTGCCTCCAATGTTAACTAAATCTTCATTATTCTTTAGAACTTTCTTTGGTTCCCTATCACTTCTAGAATGAAGTTCCAGTTTGCACCCCGAGATACATCGAGCTATTTCCTGATTCCACATCTTTGTTCTCCCTGTTCATCTGGTCTGGAATGGTTCTTTTCCTCCACCTCATCTTCCTAGAAAGGTATTGATTAGCGTGACACTTTAGTGACAATTTAGGAATGAGTGTAATAATTTCTAGGGATATCATAAAAATAATAGGAAAAGAGAATTTAATTTCCAAACTGGAACAGGAGAGAAAATGAAATAATCCAAAAGAATGCAGGAAAGGAGAGGTTTAAATGGCCAATAAGCAAAGATATGTTTTTCATTAGTCATTAGGGAAATGTATATGAAAACCACAATGAGATTCCACTTCACGTACCTTAGAATGGTTACAATAAATAAAAAAAAGAGAAATTGGTACCCTCCTATACGGAGTGGAAATGTAAAGAAGGGCAGCTACTTTGTAAAAGTTTGGCAGTTCCTCCAAAAGTTAAACAGAGGGTTACCATGTGACCCTGAAAGTCTACTTGGTTTATACCACTAGGTATAAACACAAGAAAATTGAAAACATGTCCACAAAAACTTGTGTATGAATGTTCATAGTAGCATTGCTCATAGTAGCCACTAGGTGGAAATAACTCAAATGTCATTCAACTCATGAATATATAAACAAAATAGGGTATGTCCATAAAATGGAATATAATATTAATTGAGCATAAAAAAGAATTAAATACTGATACATGCTGTAATACCGATGAACCTTAAAAATATTATTCTAATTAAATGAAAACACAAAGACCACATATTGTATTATCCCATTTATATAAAATGTCCAGAATAGGCACTCCATTGAGACTGAAAATAGATTAGTAGTTTCAGAGACTAGGGGAAGGGGAAGATGAGGAATGACAGCTAATGGGTCTGGGGTTTCTTTTTGGAGTTATGAAAATGTTGGGGAATTAGATTGTGGTTGACGGTTGCACAACTTTGTGAATATATTAAAAACCTCTGAATTGACACTTTAAAAGAGTAAATGTTTATTATATGAATTATGTATCAATTTTTAAAAAATCTGGAATAGAGCTGGGTCTAAAAAATGGCAGTTCTGTATATATACAAAAAAAAAATAAAGGAGAGAAACAGAACAGTGGGACAAAAAGAAAGTATAAAATGTTAGATAAAATTCTGACTATACCAGTAAATTCATTAAATGCAATGGACTAAATGCCCTAGTTGAGTCAAAGGTACACAGATTTAGAAAAATCTAATATGTGCTATTTATCAACCTTCCTTATAAAGTTATAGCAAAAAAGGAAGGAAATCAATACTTATTGAGTGCTTACTATGTGTCAAACATGTGCACAGTCCTCTGCAAATTCCCTTATCTTATTTGACCTTCACAACCACCTTACAAAATAAGAATTATTGTGTCCATTTTATATACAAGGAAACTGGGCACATAACAGTTAAATAATTTGTCAAGGTCAGCAACAGATCTGGGTCATGAACTTAGCTGTTTGACTCCAACTCTGCTGCTCTTTCCAGTGCACCACATAAAATATCCACAACATCCCTCTAGATGGAAATCTCTTGTCCTTCCATGGCTCTGCAGTGCTTACAGGTCTTTCCCTTCCCTGAACACCAATCCTTCAGAGCTGCATAGGGTGAGTTCTCAGGGCATGTGTGTGAGAGACTGGGTGCTCTCAAGACAGAGCTGGACTTCCCTTTGTTCTGTCTTTCTTGGCCAGAGCAGTGTGTTAAGCTGCAGACTTCTCTGGGATCATGATGCCCAGGACAGAGCCTGGCTCTGCAGGCTTTTGTGAACATGTACCAAACTCCTTGACTTTAGAGGGTAAGAAGAAAGGTAATGATAATCAAAGGGGTGTTATGAGAATTAAGAAGAGTAAGAGTATGGGGGCCCAGGAAGCCCTGGCCCACAAAGAAGTCTCTCTTTGGGCAGAAGTCCCTGGGAATAATGAACTTGTTGGCTACATGCCTACCTGAGTTCCTTCTACTTACAAATCACATGGTTACAGGAAATTCCTCCCTGGAGTACTCTTCATCCAATGTCTCCCTTTCTAGTCTTCCACAAGTATAAACTATTTAAGAATCCCAGCTCTTGCATACCTGCTAGTACTAAGGGCTGAATAGATTTACTTACTCACTAAGATATATTTCTGAGTCCTTCTCTGTGTTAGAATCCATGTCTTAAAATATTTAAAATGGGAATTACATGGCATTTTTAAAGACTACAAATAATATCTGTCATTTATTGTGAACTTTCTGTGTAGCAGGTACCATGCTAAGTGCTTTATCTCACTTAATTCTTACAACAACCTGTGAGACAATTACAGTTGGTATCCCCATTTTACAGACAAGGAAACTGAGGTTAAGAAATTTACCCAAGTTCATACAGCTAATATATGGTTGGGCTCAGACTTAAACCCAGGGTTCTCTGACTCAAATTCTACCAATATTCTACTTAAAACAACTCATTCATGCATCAAACATTTAATGTATGCCTGGCCTTAGGGACACCAGAATAAAATTAAACATAGTCGGTTTCAGGATTGGAGAGTTTCCTGAGAAACCAAAGATTCAGGAGGACAATGATGAAGCTTCTGGAACTATCCTGGAAGAGCTAATGACTTTCTGATGTAGAGCATAGGCGAGGGCGGGTAGAGGGAAAGGAGGGATGTTTGGATGAGGAGTAGGAGTAAGATGGCTGGAGTCAAATGCTTAAACTAGCTTTACTATTTGATCATCCACATATTTATGTTTTTCTTCCTTCAGGCATCTACTGAGCAGCTACTATGTACCTTCTCCAGTCCATTATCGTATCTCATCTTTACAACCCCTCTACTTTCTGACAAATTAATTCTTTCTAGTCCCTATCACTGAAAATCCAAAGAGATTTAAATTCACCTACGTTATGGGCAGAGCCTATTTCAATTTCATATTGATGTCCCAAGAGGAGGTGGAGTTATAGTCCAAATAGGCTTTGCTTTCTGAGTGCAGTCCCTGACACTGTGTGGTAATCTTAGTCCCTATGTTAGTTTATAGAACATGTTCAACCCTCCCCCTTGAAATATCAGGCTTCTGCTCTGGGCTAGTTCCTGGGGGAAAGGAAAACCAAGAAGAGGAAAATGCAGCTCTAGCCTCCACCTGTCCAGGCATAGAATATTGGAAAGTAAATAACAGGATACAAAGTGACAAGGCTGTAACAGAGGACTGCCTAAGCATTAGCCCAACTCGCTGGGAAAGACTGGTAAATGTATCCCAGGGAAGGCGGGAACATTTGATACAGGCCTTTAGGAATATATAGGGATTCTTAAAGTGTGGGTGATAAATAAGTTCAGAGAAGGCTCATTTGTATCAAACCCTATGCTGAGCCATTCTCACAGGACATCTCGAATGCCCACAACGTCAGTTCTATGGTTTCAGAGAGGTAAGGGTTGTGTTGGAGCCAGCATCAGCCAGGAGACAAGGAGGCCAGGTTTTAGGGCCTCGTAGCAGCTTCAGGCAAGTTATGCGGACACACGGAACTCCTAGTAGGGCCCTCCAGCCAGCACGCGGATTGGCCAGGAAGTGAGGGCCGGATAGCGGGGAAAGCTTCCCATCATCCCCCGCGGACTGGGGCAAGGAAAGAGTAGAACAGTTACCATGCCATCCTGGAGCCTTCCCTCTGATTGGTCCGAGCTTCAGCAGTTCGAGTGTCAGGGCTCCAGGGAAGGGGGCGGAGTCACAATATAGCGTCATCACTCTGCTCCCAAACCCTGCCCAGCGCCCCCAAGTGTAGCCCACTGGTCAGCCCACTTCGAGGAGCCCTTTGTGACATCACGATAATCTCCCAGCCAACTGCGGGAGCGAGGGGCGGGAGTCCATAATACCTCCCGCCGCTCCTCCCCTTTCCTCCCCACTCTTTAGGTCCCTCCTCTTCCCGTTCTCCCCAAGTTCGGTTTCAAAAGACTCCTTGCCCAATGAATAACAGGGCAGACCAGGAGTGGCGGCAGCGTCTTCCAATGCACAGACACGGTGGGCGGAGGGCCCAGAGCGAGCCTCTGACGGCAGGCGGCGTGTGACGCAGTCGGGCCTTCTGCGCTCTGCGCCCGCAGTGGTGGTCGGTGTCGGTGGCGGCGGCGGCGGCGACGGTTTCGTCGTGGCCGCGCGCTGCTGCCTGAACGGCGGGTGAAGGACGGGTCCAGGCCCTCACTCCTGACCCTTCCCTTCCCCCACTGCACCGAGGTAAGTCCGGAGCCGGGGTGGTGGCGGCCTGGGATCGGTAAGCTCCTCCTCCCCTTAAGGCGGTGGGTACGCGGGGCATCCCAGGCCCTTTCCGCGCCGAAGCACCTTCTGCCCTTAGGGAGGGGGCGGGGCTCGCGGCCCCTAGGTCCGGCTCCTCGGGTGCTGGGAGGAAATTGGTACCGGTGGAGTCTGAGCCCGGGGGTCTCCGATTGCTCCGTACGCTGAGGGAGCGTCCATCTCTCTGGTTGTACTCATTCATTTGCCGGGTGGTGATTAGGTCGGCCGGCCCTTTGCAGGGGCAGCGCCTTAAAGACTCTGCACACGATCTCCCCAGCCCTTGCTTGACCGTCTTGCGGGATGGAATTTATTTACCTTGGCTTCTCCACAGGGAAAATTTGTAGCCCGAAGGTTAGGGTGGGTGGGTCGTAAGTTAGTTAGCTTTTTAAAACAGTATCTGAGAATAACGGTCGGTTTAGGGGACTAAAGGGTTGTTTTCTATTCGCCTACGTGTTCCGTGTAAAACTAGGAGAAATGGGGTTTCTGGATTAAAACCGTAAGGGCCTTATAAGAAATTAAGCTAATCCCCCTACCTGACATCACTTGCAAGTTTTTTTGATGGAGAAACCGAGGCCCAGAAAAAGGACAGAAATAGCCAACGCCAGATCTGACTCGGTCTAAAAGTTTTTCTACTACACCACCCTCCCTGGGTATTGCAGCCTCTCGTTATTAAGGATTCCCTATGGATAGGGGAGGGGCAGGCATTCGGTAGTTGGAAGCAGACACAGTCTTAGGTAGCGTTTCTGATTTAATTGCTACCAGCTCTGTTCATGGTTAAGGTAGAAGCTTCAGTAATGGTACCCTAACCTGGACCATGAGAATTAAACTTGAAGATTGGTTAAAGAATGTCAGTGATGTTATAGAAACGAAAGAATAAAACTACATGTCATTGGCTGGTTTGCGGTTCAAATCTGAAATTATTTGTATCAGCTGCTGGGGACTCAGAAGAAACTCCAATTAGCGACTTAAAACAGTATTGGAATAGAAAATAGGAAATTAAAACAAGATTTAGAAAAGTAGGCAGCATTTTGTAGTTCTTGTACCTTGGAACTCATGGCTCCTCTCGTGCAGAATTCAAAGTATTGCAATAGAATAAGGTGTGAAAGTTAAACCCTGTTTTGGAAGAAGAAACTAACTGGAAGAAAGAAGAGAGCAGTAATCATTCTCCATGACAACCATAAACTCAGAAAGAAATGCTTAACTGGGTGATGTGTGTTTAATGGAAGAAGTTAGGATATTTAGGAGGCAAAACCAGAAGTTGGACAAGATAGAGGTATTGGGAAATACTTTGATACCATTAGTTTTTGATTCTTAATTAAGATTTAATGGAATTGAATTAGTTGTCACTTTAGTCTATTCACATCAAGTAGATAATCACTTTGTTCTCGTTTAGATAAAGCAAAAGCTGAAAAACAGACGTGTATTTTCTGTGACATTTTCTCAGTTCAAGCATCACTTCTCTGGAGCCTTTCCTGGCATTCTCTCCCCTGTAAGCTTCCATAACACTTATTTGATACCTTAATTTTAGCACAAATCATATAGTATTTTAGCTGTTTGTCTTTTTATGAGACCCTTGTAAAATATTTTTATCTTGTCTTCATATTGAGGTTACTTGACACATAATAGGCCCTCAGTAAGTGTGGTTGCTTGAATGAATAAACAAATATGGAGGAGTTAAACCTAAAAACAGTTTTAAAGAGTCTTGAATATTTGTGTGCTCTTGAAATACTGGGGTTCAAATAAGAGGACCCATACAGTTCATACATTACATGGTACTTTGGTACTTGACTTTATTCCTGTCCATTAGCTCCTAGATAGCTAAGAGCAGGTAGAACTTTTAGGGAACCAAATTCAAAGCTTGGAAAAAACTGGTTAATATTACTTTTATGGTGGTAGTTACTCTAGGAAGTAAGTTGTAGTAGTTCTGATGTTTAATTTCCAATAAATAACACATCTGTAATTATGCATTTGGTTGAAAGGGGACTATGAAATTTAGAGATTTAACAAAGATATGCAAAGTTTGTTATGAATTTGGTGCATTCTTTGTTTGGAATTGAACCTAAATATTTGGCACAGTATATCTCTAGAACAAGGTTCCTCAGCCTCAGCACTGTTGACCGTTTGGCCAGGTAATTCTTAATTGTGGGGAGGTATCTTATGTATTATAGGATGTTTAACTACATTCTTGCCCTCTACCCATTAGAAACCCATAACACCCCCTCCTCAAGTTGTAACAATCAAGAATGTTTCCAAACATTGTCAAATGTTCCCTGGGAGGCAAAATTTATCCCTGTTCCAGAGAAAACATTCCCAATTTTCCAGTAAAATCTTACCTAATATATGCTTATAAAGGTAGCTGATAAATTACATTTCTTTAAAATTGTCTTTGAAAATCCTTAAAATTGTCGAAATCTGGTATGAGGAAGCTGAAAAGCTAATAGTCTTAGAATCATTGTGTTTAGTTTCTCTTTTTATTTCTATGATAGCTCCCTTTCTCTAGAATTGGATAAATCAAGGTCTTATTTAGAAGGGGATAGGCCATTGGGTAAATAAAGCGATTTCTATTTCTGTTTTTGTGGAAGAGGGCAAAAGAGCTTGTAGTTGAATGATGTAATTAAATATAATGCTATGTGATTCAGTTATCTTTCCATTTCACTAATACACTCAATGTCACATGAATATGCATTGATCCATTGTCCCAACACTGAGAATATAATAAATACTAAGAATCATTGGCCATATTGAAGAGTTTGTACTTAATTCAGTGTAATAGGAAACAATTGCAATTTCTAGTAAAGAAATAATTATTTCTTAAAATACGGTTCTCATTAGCTAAATCTGATATTAAGAGTAATATTAAGGATGGTGGGTATTAGGGTAAATTGGAAAATGTGAAACGAGTCAGATAGATGGATTAGAAGGAGGCTATAGCAATAGTGTAGGATAGCAGTTCTCAAAGTTGGAAGTCTTTGGGCTGCTTTATACTTGTAAAAATTATTGAAGACTCCAAACAGCTTTTGTTTATATGGGCTATATGCACTATACTAGAAATCAAAAGACAGATTTTTTTAAAGGCAAAAATAACCTCATTTGTTAACAAATAACAATTTTATGAAAAATTACAAAAAAATTTGGTAACTTGTCTGGCTTAATAGAATACAAGACCACTGTCTTTGCAGATCTTTTGCATTCAGAGGTGGTTGATACGTTGTTTTAGTTGAAGTATGTGAAGAGAATCTGGCCTCATACAGATATGTAGTTGGAAAAAGTGATTTAATAGCTTTTTCAAATAATTGTAGATATTCTCCTTTGCCACTATACTAAGACCTTTTTTAAGGTTTTTTGCAATATGGAATCTGAAACCATGTCATTAAACTTTTGTGGAATGTTACATTAAAATTCACTGTTTCGTTTTGCAATTTGATGGATATTTACCCATGCATGATTTCATGACATACATTTCTTGTTTAGAAATCATCAGTTCACTGAGTTGTGCAGTTCTTCCAAAAGTTGACAAGTTTAGTTACACAGTTGTTAATATTTCCACTTATCTCATCAGATAAGTCTTTCTAAGAATTGGGAAGCTGACAAGCTCATAGTAGTGGACACGGTTTTCAAAATTCTAATTTTCAATTCAAATCTGAATTTGACAAAGCCATAGTTTGTCATTTATTCTTTGGAGGGGGGAAATGGTACACCGTGAAAAAATCAGCCCGTTCAGTTTTCTACTCAAAAGTAATCACACAAGTGTTTTTCCTTGAGACAACTCTTGTATTTTGATATGCACAAGTGCTTTTGAGTACTTCCCATTTCATCCCAAAGATAATCACAAAGTATTAAAAAGCTGTGTACTGAAAAGTTGAGAATTAATGCAATCAATTTTTTCTGCTTTATCAAAGACATTCAAGTGAAAGTGGATTTCTGTGTGTGTTGTAAGTGGGTGGCAGTGAAGAATTGAGTGACGATTTGTACAGTTTAGGGCCATTGTCCTGATTCATGCACAGGTTGCAGTGGTTTTATGCATGTTGTTTTTGTATGTCAGTGCAGAGGTCAGCACAGGAAGAAAAAAAAGGGCAAATATAATATCTTAGTATTATTATGAAACTAGTTTTGACTTTTGGACTCCCTGAAAGAGATCTTGGGGACTTATAACCACTCTTTGAAGAACACTAATCTAAGAGAATGATTTTTCAAACTTGATCTTATAGCCCTAAACTGCTTTTGAAGGGCCAGCAGGTGGAGTTCTCCAGAGCAGCTTCCTACTTATTTCTGTTTTAGGTATTTGATTCTATAGCTACAAATATTTGAAAACCACTGATGAAGGGGAAAAAGGATGAATGCCTGAATTAGGACTGTCTTCTCAGGAAGGGAACACTTCATCCTACATGTTGCAGTCACTCATCATTTCACACTGTTGGGTATTCCTCCTGCTGCTTTGACATAAACATTACTGGTATCTGCACATCTAACCCTTCTTGCTGGAATAAGCTTCTTAAGAAATAGGCAAATGGTTTTGTAAATAAACAAGGTGAGTAGTTGGAAATGAGGCTAAAGATGTGGGATAAGTAGAAAAGAATGAATGATCAGAGTGACCTCAGTATATTATGGGTGTGTGGGGTGTTTTTCTTGTTTACAGTAGTGCTTTATGGTCAGTAGTAGATGGCAGTGCAGTATTGGGAAATGAGTCATATTATGTCTGGAGTTCTACGTAGGCACTGATAGAAGTTTAGAGTAAGGGGAAATTATACTTTTCTAATTAAAAATATTGTAAAATGTTTGTTGAAGAACTCAGCGAAAACCCGCTTTTGAGGAGCTCTAGTTTGAGGCAACCTGGTCACCTTAACAGTCCTTTGATGTAGGCTATGTAATCCCTACTGTTCAGATGTAGAAACTCAGGTCTAGAGGTTGAATGTCATGACTTAACCACAATTACACAGTTGAGGCCGATGTTCTTTTATTCCTTTAGCTTTTTATTTTGAAATAATTTTAGATTTATGAAGAACTACAAAGATAGTAAGGGGCAGAGAGTTTTAAATACAAATTTGTCTTCAAAGCTACTGTACTGTTTTCACTACTTTCTGTTTTTAAAATGAGAGTTATGTTAAGGGAATGAAAATAAAGCTATCCACATTGTGAAGAAAGAGCTGTATTAGATCTTGTGGGTTACTTTAAATTAAATTGTGCCCTAATGGGAGAAACTGAGCAAAATCAAAGATGCTTTTTACCAGAGCAGCGAACAGCTCGTACATTCAAGTTGGCAGGTATGACAACAAATATATTGCATAACTAAAAACAGCTGAGAGGCATTAGTTTATGTAACCTATTAGAAAAGGGGAGGGGAAGGGAAGTGTTTTTATATAGATAAGAGACTGGAGGGTCTAATCTGGTAGTCTGGTGAAGCAGGTGAGGCTTGAGCAGCAATTTTTAGAAAAAGGGACATAATTTCTAGACAGAAAAAGGAATGTTTTAACAAATGAAATAGCTTGATCTGGGGAATAATCAGGAACGATACTGTAAAACAAGAGGATAGCAGATTGTTTTGCTGGGATATGATACTAAGTCATTGAGACTAGGCTCATCTCTTCCTGGAATTATACCTAACTCTCCTATCCCTCCCTTCCAAGGCAAAATTCAAATCATGTTTCCATTCAATTTAACTGGATAATTCCTTCCTCCTCTAGTGCTTTTGTGAAGATTTAATGAGAGAATGTATGAAAAAGCACTTTGTAAACCGGAAAGTACACAATGCTTGTCCATTCATCTAACAAATATTTATTTTTGCTTTTTTACTGAGTTTGATTCAAAGGAACTCAGTGAAGTGAAAAAGAAAATTACTTCCCAATTGTTGAACATTCTTTTGTCAGAGAGCAGCAAGTTTCCTTCATTGAGACAGCAAAGTTGACAGTTGCTTGGTTGCCATGTTTTAGGGTCTGTCCACCACTTTTCTGGAAGAAAACTAAATTCTATCGCTATGTCCAGAGTTCACGAAGCTCACAAAAACTGGATATAAACCGGGACATCAGTTTATTATGCTTTAGTTGGGACTCTGGTGGACTATGTACTGCATTACTGGTGTTATTAAGGTAACCTCTCTCCTGTGTCTGACAGTGTGAATTTTTACTTAGTAGATTAAGCTTAGCAAACTCAAAGGCATTGTCTCTTTGTGTAGAGCACTGTTTCCCTTTTATTTTTTCTTTCTATATGTGTCTTGTACACACACACACAATTGCAATGAGTCTAAGTACGTCCATCTGTAAAGGAAGTGGTTGATCTTTGTAGGAAAGTTCATTTAGGTCATCGGGATACCTTATAAACTGTCAATACATAAGAGAGGTTACCTTTGTGGTGACTAGAACCCTCGTGTTTACCAGAGAAGTGCCTCTTTCCCCTAATAGTGCTGGATCAGTACTGCCAAATTTTGGTTTTATAGGTTCTTATTTATAGTAAGTGCAATCATTTCCCTTTATTGGTTAGTGGTCTTTCTCTAGAAACCTTAGGTCCTAGTTTAACTCTAAGAGCACAGCTTCTGGAGTTAATAATAGCTTTGTGATCTTGGACAAATTACTTCTTGTGTCTCAGTTTCACCATTTGTAAAATAAGTATAAAAGGCTTGGGTCACATTCCAAATCCCCAGGAATTTTTCCTCATATTTCCAGTTCACATTCTGACATAATTTTGACTCTGTTGTGCTTCTTGGCATTTACATGCTCATTGAGTTTTTAATATGTGGGTCCTTTCTCTGGTCATATCAGAAGTTACAGACTTAAACTTGCTGGGGCCAGGAAGCTGACAGAAATGAGTGATAGTGTGTGGATATTGTGACACATTGGAGAATACACTGTGACCAAAGAAGACTGTTACTACTCAGCTCCAGACTGCTACTGAAATGATTATAGTCTTAGTTTGCTTAATTATCAGGTTTTTCAAGAGAAGCCAATAATGTTAACATCTGACATATCTCTACTTTAAATGTTATCAGGTAGTTTGAGATAATATATATGTATACATTTTGAGGTAATTTGTGCAACATATATATGTTTGGAGAAATGTGTGTGATATAATACCATATAGATACAAAAAGGCCAAACAAAGAAGTGTCTGTATGTTGTATCCAGCCAGTTTATGTAACCTCTGAATTAGACAATTCTATCAAGAATCTTCTCTTTCTTTGATGGCTTCCTTTTGTTGTGAAAATTAATCTAGTATAATTTTAAGTTAAAAGTTACTTCTAAAGTAACTTGATCATTCAGTGTGTGTTTAAAAAACACATTGCTTGTGATTGTCATTCATTTAGAAAATGAGTACATATGTGTTACAGACCGTTTGTGAGGTTCTGGTATAGTAAACAAATGATACCGTCTGTACCCTGGAGAAGTTCAGTATGTATTTGGGGATGGTTGAGGGGGTTGGGGGTTCAGAAGTTGCTTCCTTGGGAAGCAGACTGAGTTGGGCAGAGTCCTGCATGAGTTTTAGTAAAGAGTGCTTTTGGCATCATCACCTGTGGGAGAGAAGAGCAATAGACTGAGGGAGAAATTGAGTTGTGATAGTGTCTTAATGAAGTCCTCGCCAATCTCATGGAGAGTATGAAGCTGGCGTTACCCTTTAGAGTTATCCTAATTTAGAACAAAAGAGCCTGGTATTTGAATATGGGCTATCCTGGAAAGAGGATATGACCTTGGGTGAGGCAACTCCTCAGCAGAGGCAGTTCTGAAGAGAACAGCTGGAGGCTGTCTTTTGGTAGTAGTTTGCAGTAGCTGGGACAACAAATCCTTCAGTCTAAAAGGGAGATCTTCAGATGTAGTTGGTGTTGTCACAGTGTCTACTATAGACAAAGTCTAGATACGTGTAAACAAATCATAATGTGCCGTGGAAATCCAGAGGAATAACTTGATTGCTAGAGGGAGTTAGAGAAGGCTTATAGAAAAGATGACAATTGAGCTAGGTTTAAAGAATGAATTACTAGGTGATTTTGTAGGGCAGGAATAGAGAGGGAGGAATTTTTCATTGAGTCACTGACATTTCATAGCATAGTCAGGAAAATGAATGTCTTGTTTGAAGAGCAAAGGGTTTAATGTATTAGCCATTTTTTTTTTCTAGCAGTCATGATAAAATCATGAGGCTGTTTTTCAAAATCTTGGTTTGCTTCCATGGTAATAATAATAATAATAATAATAATAATAGCAAAATACATCCCAGTGTAATCAGTCTTGAGACTAAGCCAAGTTCATCTTTGCCAGAACCAAAATGATAGGCTGAGCTTGAGTGAGAAGATTTTTTTCCATGAGTCCAAATTGGATTTGGGCCCTGTGTTGTCCCTTGTTCTTGGGTCTGGAACAGATGAATTTCCTTAATACTACGTGTTCATTGCTTGTATCTTCCTTCCTGGGATTGAGAGTGTCCATGGGAAGTCAGAAGGTAAGTTAAACGGGCTTTCCAACTTATCACTTCCTTGACTTTGGGAAACTTGCTAAACACCCGATCCTATCTTTTTATCTGTAAAATTCAGGTGGTGGTGCATACTACCATCGTTTTAGGATTGTTGAGATGATGTATGTATGAGCTTATAAACTGTGAGGTGTTCCCCAGGGTACTTTATTACTACTTAAAATTGTTTTGTGAAATACATGTGTGATGCTGGGTTTCTGTGTTAGGATAAAATTATTAATCAGTTTTTGATTGTTGGGAGCTATGGATTTGGGCTATAGAACCTACTGCCACTAAAACCTAAATTAACACTAAAATCTTCTATGTGAGAATGAATTTCACAGAGAAAAAGTGTATTACTTGGCTTTTGAATCCTGACATGTTTGCTGTATAGAAGGTGTCAGATTTACATGAAAAACAAATTGCTATTTGCGGGGGTGAATAAAAAAAAGGATGGCAAATTTAGCATAATAGCTGTATTACAACTCACAGGTTCTGCCATAATGATGATGGTCAAAAAATTTAGTCAACAGATACAATGAAATGGTTCTAGTAGGGGCCTTGATCCAAGATAGCACTATGAGAGTGACTGCAATCAAAATGAGTTGGTCCAGACATCTAAACCTCTAGCACAACTGTCAATTTTGAATGAATTGTCGAAAAGCAAATATATAGATAGAACCATAAATGTTTGGACTTCTGCTAAATACTTCCAAGAATATTTTCCCTGGAAAGGAGAGTCACCACTACAATACGTTAAAGGCTCAATCTGTTACTTCGTGACACCTGATAAATTGGGAAGACAGGAAACTTCAAGCAGATCTCATTATTGAAAGAGAAGTGATAATTGCATGAAGTATAACCTCTAGTTTCAAGGGAATGAATTAGAATCAGTTGAGCTTTGAATGTAAAAATGTCTACATCCCAACCTTGGACATCTATCTTGGCTCCTTATTTCTAGAATGGGGTCTGGAGGGTTATATTTTGAAAAGCTTGCCAGCTAATTCTGATGTGGCCCTCTTGAACCACTGGTTTCAGTGAACTTTGTTCAAGCAAATAAATTGCTAAATTTCTGGATGTTGACATAAAGAACTAAGTGTTGGGATTATTTTTTCTAGGGGTGTTTAGAGGACAGAGTACTGGTTTAAAAAAAAAAATTAAATATATAGGCATGGCTTCATCTTTTCCAGTGTTGCACAAAATGTTTCAGGTGTTGGAGTACCTGAAAGTGTTAATGGGACACTGGAACATTATGGGGAGCACCTCAAAATCTTTTTATTTTTTATATGAATGAGGCACGATTTTACTAGAAAAACTGCTCCATTATGTGAGAAAACTCGTACCTTTTGCAAAATCCAAATAAGAATTATTGCTATTTTCTGAGTTTTATATTAAAAGTAGTTCACTCATTTTCTTGTCTGTTAGCAGGTGAGTAGTAGCAGGTATCTTAAGTTTAAGGAAAGTTTATGAGGGGGAGAGTATTTACTTTTGAGTAAACCACACCTTCAATTTGATTTTATTCAAGTATGGAGTGGGGGAAAACTAAACTTCCCTTTTGTACTTGTTGGAACACTTTGATAAAATTCTTTAAGTGACCCAGTGTATAGTTTGGTTGCCTGGGGGGGGATTATCCATATGTGGGAGGTCATCATAAAAGGTTTTTCTATAATGTTACCAGAAGAAGATAGATAAAAATATAAAAGTAGGGGACCATAGAGGAACATCATGTTATAATTTGAACTGGCCAGCATTTGTAGAATGACACATTTCAGAAACAATTATACCATATTCTCTGGTTTTTAAAAATTGATAGTTTTTTCTTCTTTCCAGCTCTCTAAAGCAAAGACTCATTTTGAAGATGTTTAACAAGTCATTTGGAACACCCTTTGGGGGTGGCACAGGTGGCTTTGGCACAACTTCAACATTTGGGCAGAGTAAGTTTAAAAAAGAACGGAAGTGGGGGAAATCTTAAGCTGTTCTTACTAAGAGCAGATCCACTCTCATAGCTTTTTAGATAGAGATTTTATTCATGCTTTAGCCTTTCTAACATTTTTAAATCTCTTTGAAAAATGACCAGGATAAAGTCTTGTTAAAATTCTAAAAAAATAGAAATGAGTTCTGAGTTTTCATGGTTTTCTGAGCATCAGTAGAAGGTAGTTAAAATATTTTTATTAATTGGTTCTTTTAACAGGAAATTTTAGTTACTAATTTTCAGACCAGGAACTAATATTTTTAAATATTGAAATCTAAAGTGCATTTATTGAATCACTGCTGAGATTTACTGTTGAATAAGATGGACATTCGGGTACAGAACTGTTAAATGTCAAAGTCCTTAGTCGCCACCAGCCCTCCCAAGATATACTTCCTCTTCCATACAGTATGATTATACATGATAGCTGTTGCCTATAACAATGCTTACTTCTACACTTTTGTAAAAAATTTTATGCAAAATAGAATGTTATCGTGAATTCTCATGTACTTATCTCCCAGCTTTAGCAGTCAGCATTTTCCATCTCATTTTACCCCTCTCTTTTTAGGGGAAGAGGAGCGTCTGAACAGAGTATTTTAATGCAAATCCTAGAAATTTTCTCTAACTGATGAGGACTTAAAAACCCTAACTACCAAACCTCAAGCATATTTAATAAAAATAATAGAAATTTTTTCAGTTGTCTCCTGTCCTTTTCTTAAAGTAGTCTGTACATCTGAGTTTCTAGTTTTTAACCAAGAGTATCCATTAGAGTCAGTTTTGGAGGTTTTTTTCAAGTACATATTTCCCATCGTAGAACTAGGAAATTAAGATCTCTGGGGTTGGAACCTGAATTTGAACCTGGGAATATTTTGAAAATTTTCCCAGGTCATTCTGATGTGCTTCCCTAATTAAGGACCATTCATCCGAATGTGGAGTGTATGATGTCTGGAAAGAATTTTAACACTTCAACTTTGGTGATTTTACTTTTGTCTGTTGCTCATAGTCACTACAGTTGGCCCTTGAACAATGCAGGTTTTAACTGCAAGGATTTTTTTCATAAATATGTTGGAAAAATTTTTTTGAGAATTCCAAAAATTTGAAAAAAACATTTTTTTCTCTAGTTTACTTTACTGTAAGAATATAATATATATGTAACATACAAAATATGTGTTTAACTGAGTTTAATGTTACTGGTAAGGCTTCCGATCGACAGTAGGCTACTAGTAAAGTTTTTGGGGTGTCAAAAATTACAGATTTTCAGTTATATCGTGGGGGTGGAGTCTGGGGGATATTGGTTCATGCCTCTAACCTTCATGTTGTTCAAGAGTCAACTGTAGTTATCTTGGCATTCTTTTTTTTTTTAGACCTATCAACATCTATAACTTTTATTTAAAAGTCACACCTTTTCAGTTTAAATTTCCTTCACCTAGGGTAATGAGTAAACTGTCTATGCCTTAATTTTGACTATCTAATTAATAGTGTGATGGAATTTTGAAAAAACTGGTTTTCGCATTGGACCAGTGGTCCTATTCAAATGCGGAATGTTAAGAAATATTAAAATCCTTTTTCATTGGATCTATGTGCATTTTATTTTGACCCTGATTTTGCTTTTTCAGATACTGGCTTTGGCACTACCAGTGGAGGGGCATTTGGAACATCTGCATTTGGTTCTAGTAACAATACTGGAGGTCTGTTTGGAAATTCACAGACCAAACCAGGTGGGGGCTTTATCTGGAATGCAGTTGGTTTATTTGTAGCTGGCACAAGACTTCATTTAGTGACTGCAATCTGTCTATTTACCTGTTCTTTCCCCCTCCTCATCTCCCCAGGAGGATTATTTGGTACCAGTTCATTTAGCCAGCCAGCTACCTCTACAAGTACTGGCTTTGGGTTTGGCACATCAACAGGAACATCAAATAGCTTGTTTGGAACTGCAAGCACAGGCACCAGTCTCTTCTCAGCCCAAAACAATGCCTTTGCACAAAATAAACCAACTGGCTTTGGGAGTAAGTAGAATATTATTGGAGTTCTGCATTTACCGATTTGATTTTCTTACTGAATTTGTTCTTACTTCTTTTCCCCGTGTTCACCTACCTCCCTTTCCTGCCAGAGGGCAAAAACATGGGAAGAGGAAAACTTCAAAATGTATTGAAAAATTTAATAGGCTGGAAAGGAGTAGGGGTTATGTATCTCTTCTAGGATAGAAATCTGAGAAGCACTAGTATTTAGGGGATATACGGAGGAAGAGGCTTCTGATAGAAAGTGACTAGAGGTAGGGTGAATAGACAGGTCAGAGCAGTGTTGTATGTATTAAGACAGGAGAAATTCAAGGAGAAAAGTAATCAACCATATTGTCCTACAGTGGCACCTTCTTCTTGCCTATTTCACATTTGTTAAGTGACTAAAGCAGAAATGACAAATACTGGATGTGACATGGTTACTCCTCCATTCCTTGTTCGTGGCAGATACTTTAATTGATGGCTTCTTTCTCTTTAAATCTAAATGTGGCCTAGGGATACTTCACACAGGTACTTTGAGGTAAACACTACTAGTTGAACAGGTATGCCCAGTGAGTTGATGCTGTTCTCAGTACAGGAGTATGGCAGAATGAGTAAGTCAGCCGCTATCTGTGTTTTACAAAGGGTAAGTTCTTTGTGGGGATATTGAAATATTTAACCATGACAATATAAAATGCAATCTAAAGTGCTAATTCAAAAGAGATACGCCTATTTACTTTTTATATTAGGACATTTTTTTAGGAAAATAACAATTTGACTACCAGTGAGAAATCACATTCCTTTTATCTTGGTAATTAGGATGTCACTTAATATTAAATATTCATACATAACTTTTTGTTGCTTACTGACATTTCTGGCACCCCATGTGTAACTTCTTTAGTAGTATCTTTCATATTTTGAAAAATATATTCCTTAGATAATTATTAAATTCACTTTTAGGTAATTTTTAAAAACAACTTTTTGGCAAACTAAGGTAGAAGATCTACTTATTTTTATAAAATGACCAGGTGCTTAACAATTTTTCTAAATTATTTTTCTGGGTGAAATTTTTCATTAACTTGTGTTTGATTGCTGTAATAGCACCATTTGTATGTTACAAATTTTTTTGTTATGTGTGGGTGTTTGTAATACTACATGTCAGGAAGAAATACTGTAACTCCTGTTGAAGTCTCTTGTGATGTTTTCAGAAAGATAAGTTCATTCAGCATTTAGTCTTACTAAGAAAGGAGAAATGACATAAAATTGATGAAACAGAGTACTGTTTCTATTAACTTGTCTTCCAAGTATGCCCAAGAAGGATTTTTATGGACACTTAGCTGACAAAAGAATTCAGATTTTGTTTCACTTCAAAGTTGTGAGCCTAGAATTATGTGTGTCTATGAAATACCTGTTTGAAGGTAATTGCTAGGGAGATTTGAAATAAAATTTGAGGATATGAAAGTAATGCTGTTCTAGTGCCACAGCCCAATTCAGATAGTGTACAGAGTCTTAAATTCTTTACTGTTACCATCTCATTTTTCTTTTTACTTTATAGATTTTGGAACAAGTACTAGCAGTGGAGGACTTTTTGGAACTACAAATACCACCTCCAATCCTTTTGGTAGCACATCTGGCTCTCTCTTTGGGCCAAGTAGTTTTACAGCTACTCCTACTGGGACTACTATTAAGTTTAATGTAAGAGTTTTCTTCCGTTCTTCATGGGATATGTCTCTCTCTCATTTGTATATTTCTTCTTAGTATGAATTGTAAAATTTCTTCCCTTTCTAGTTATCTCCAGTGTAATTTCACTCTTCCTGAAAAATGTGTTAAAAACAAAATCTATAAATAAGTGTATAGTAAACAAAGCCATGAGATATAAATCTGGATTATAATGTATATTTGAATTATGCTTAACCCAGTCAAATTTGTATTCATAAGCTATTACAATACCTAGTGGTTGAACCTGTATTTACAGTGTTCATAATTTGGCCTCTGAATTGGTTAACCATTCTTAGAGAAATAAAATAAGAATGAGGGAACAAACTAGAAAAATCATTGAAAACATTTTCTTTAAGAAAAATGGAATCCATCAATATGTTTGCCAATTAAAAATGAAGCTTTAATTAGTGAAATGGCAAAATGGGAATATAGAGTTTTGTGTTTTCTTTGTTTTTTTTCTAGAGGAGTTGGGTAGAGGGTTAGAGTAGGTTTTTTCATGAAAACATATGGAATACCACTTGATATAGTATATCACTTGGGATTTGTTGGGATATATATAGGATAGGCTGGAAGTGCAGTTCGCCTGATGGAAATCCCTGGCATAAATACAGCTTGACAAAACTTCCTTTTAAAACTTACTCCAGAAAATGAAGACTTTCTCAGGCCAGGTGGTAAATTCATAACACTGAATTTAGAATCCTGAATTTAAAGTAAAGTTAAATATAAATGATACTGTATGTTGTCTCTTGGGAAGTATAATAATTGAGAAAACTGATGATTCAGATAGGAATCATGACTTAATAAATTCATGCAAGGTAGTTATTGTGCCTTTTTCCCTGTGAAGTTCCAGTGGGAAAACCAGGCTTCCATATTTCTTAAATGCAACAGCAATCAGAAAGCAGACAATTCAGAGCAGAATTATCAGATAGCACTCAAAAATAGAGGTTTAAATGTATGTATTGTGTAAACTGGATAAAGCTTTCCTTATGTGCAGAATAAATATTTTAGTTGATAATTGGACAGCTTGGTTATGGGATTAGTCTCTGGGTTTGTGATAACTATTACTGAGATTAATTTTTCAGATATCGTGAGTATAGGGAGAGATCGGAAATGCGATGTATTTAATCAACCCTTGAAACCATCTTGTTTAGTAAAATACTTAGGGGACTAGTTACAGAGTTCATTAGTTAAGAATTGTGTCTGTGAGAGTAGGGATATAAGCTTGGAATTACACATTTGCTTTAGACTTTCAAATTTGCCTTTTTCTCCCTTTGCAGCCTCCAACTGGTACAGATACTATGGTTAAAGCTGGAGTGAGTACTAACATCAGTACCAAGCATCAGTGTATTACTGCTATGAAAGAATATGAAAGCAAGTCACTAGAGGTCAGTAAAATGCAATACAGAATATCAGCCTTAACTTTTTTTAAAAATTCATTTTATTATCATTAATCTACAATTACATGAAGAACATTATGGTTACTAGACTCCCCCTTCACCAAGTCCTCCCCACAAACCCCATTACAGTCACTGTCCGTCAGCGTAGTAAGATGCTTTAGACTCACTACTTGTCTTCTCTGTGTTGCACATCCCTCCCTGTGCAGCCTTAACTTTTTTGATTCTATTAGAAAACAGCTTTTTAAGACTTTCTAATTATGTTTAGGATCAACTGGTTCATATTGGGTCTATGTAAAAAGCAAACATTAACCAAATTATTTTAAATAAATGTATTATAGATATCTATTTGTTTTAGGTAGGGATAATACTCAGCTTGTATGTATCAGCAGAATCCTCTTTAACAGTCTATTCTGATTGGATGTTGCTCACACAATACTGGGCAGTGTGCATGCATGCACACACCTGGGTTTTTAGTAAACTCATGCAAATTCATAAATGTACAATGTAAGTTTTCTCCAAGTGAATACACCCCATGTAACCAGGGTCCAAATCAAGATGCAGAGCAGTACCAGCATCCCTGATGTCCCTCTCTGTTTTGTCCTCCAAGTCATGGTCCTCCCCTTCCAAGGTAACCACTATTCAGACTGCCAATATTGCCAATTTTTGAATTTCATATAAATGGAATCTTATGTACTTTTAAGTCTGTCAACATTGTGAGATTTATCCATGTTGAATGATGTTAGTTCATTCTCATTGCTTCGTAATACTTGTTTTACTTCTTAACTGGCATCCCTAATTGTAGCTATCGGCTTCTTTTATATCCCAAACTGTGCTTGCTTTATTGGAGTGTGCAGAAACACTCTGATCTGGGAGACATACAAACTCATGCAAATTCATAAATGTACAATGTAAGTTTTCTCCAAGTGAATACACCCCATGTAACCAGGGTCCAAATCAAGATGCAGAGCAGTACCAGCATCCCTGATGTCCCTCTCTGTTTTGTCCTCCAAGTCATGGTCCTCCCCTTCCAAAGGTAACCACTATTCAGACTGCCAATATTGCCAATTTTTGAATTTCATATAAATGGAATCTTATGTACTTTTAAGTCTGTCAACATTGTGAGATTTATCCATGTTGAATGATGTTAGTTCATTCTCATTGCTTCGTAATACTTGTTTTACTTCTTAACTGGCATCCCTAATTGTAGCTATCGGCTTCTTTTATATCCCAAACTGTGCTTGCTTTATTGGAGTGTGCAGAAACACTCTGATCTGGGAGACATACTGTTAAACTTGATATCTTTTCTTTTCCTAAATTTTCTGAACACCGCCCCCACCAGAGTCCTCCATCTTTTAATCATCTAATTTTTACATTTGGGGTGGGAGTAGATGAGATTATTGTATAAAATTGTACATAAAGTATTGTGTCTAAAAGGAAATTAGAATTAACATATCGGTCCTTTGGCTTGTAGTTTAACAGTAATTATGGTATGAATTTTAATATCCAATATACACTATTAAATTTTTTTTCTGAAATGGCATTGTTAATGTCAATCTGTAACTGTTTTTTAGCCATGGTTCCTATATGAACATGGAAACTGAGTGCTGCATTCAAGTATTTACTTGCCTAAGTAACTTTTTGTGCTGCATTTTAAGATTAGAAATACGTTTCCCTTCCTCTAGGAACTTCGTTTAGAGGATTATCAGGCTAACCGGAAAGGCCCGCAGAACCAGGTGGGAGCAGGTACCACGACTGGCTTGTTTGGGTCTTCTCCAGCCACGTCCAATGCAACAGGACTCTTCAGCTCCTCCACCACTAATTCTGGCTTTGCATATGGTCAGAACAAAACAGCCTTTGGAACTAGTAAGCCTTTGAATCATATTGAGGGACAGACAACTAAAAGTAAACATAACTGTCATTTTGTGATAAGTACTATGGAGAAAAAATAACTCCAGGATGCTGGAGGCATAGGGAGTACCTTATATATATATATATGAGGGTTGGGAGAAATACTGTTTTAAATGATAATTAAGGAGTGTTGCACTGATACAGTGACCTATCTGAAGAATGTGAAGGATAAAGCTGTACAGATCTCTAGGGGAAGAACAAACATTCCAGCTAGAAGAAACTCTGAGTTTTTCCCAAAGAGAGGACAAGGTGGAGTACTGGGGGATATAGGGAATGTATCTTATAGGGGTTTATGGGCTAGTGTCAAAATATGAATTTTTATCTCAGTTGGGAAGCTATTAGAGTGTTTAGAGAATCATGTGATTATGCAGGAATGATCATTCTTAAGGCTGCTATGTAGATTGTAAGGGGGAAGGATAGAACTAAATCAGTTAGAAAAACTATTGCTCTATCCACATGTGAAATGTTAGTGTCTTGGATGAGGATGGTGCTGTGGAAATAGTAGAAATGTCCATGTTGGACCCAGTTTGAATATAGAACTGATGGAATTTGCTGATGGATTGATTTGATGTGGGATGTGAAAGAGGGAAGTCTGGGATGATTACTTGATTCTTTTATAAAAATACTGCTTTTGCAAAGGTAATACATATGATATAAAGTTGATGAAATACAAAAAAAGTGTGTAACCCAAGGTCTCTTTTCCCTTACCTAACTACCAGTTTGCCTCTGGAAACAAGGAAAAGTAAAATTTTTGTAGCCTTCTAGAGAGATTTATACACATACACAAACACAAATACATAAATAAATACAAATTTAGTGACATTTAACATTCTTTTCAATCTTGGTATTCTTTGATTTAGCTTAGCCACATATTCATTTAAAATTTTATTGTGTCACAGCCTAGGCTGGATATACTTATATAAAGAGAATGCCTCTGTTCTGAAGAAAAATGTAGTCTAACAGGGTTAAAATACACACATAGACTTTCAGTGTATTGTGGCATCTTACAAAATAAAATTAAGGCTCACAAAAATAACTTAGTCCAGACAAGGTTCTTAGGGTCAGTATTATTGTAGAAAGTAGAGTCTGAACCGAATCTGAAGTTAGGTGAGAAAGGATGGAAAATGAAATAGTTATCCAGTTTGAGTAGTGAATGTAGGGCAATTCAGATACGTAATCAGTAACTTAAGACTATTACAGTAAGTAGATAATGTGAGGTTTGGGTTTTTGTCCTCCATTTACTTTTTCTTTATTTCTTTTTCTTGAAAGGCACAACTGGATTTGGAACAAATCCAGGTAGCCTCTTTGGCCAACAGAATCAGCAGACTACCAGCCTCTTCAGCAAACCATTTGCCCAGGCCATAACCACCCAGAACACTGGCTTTTCCTTTGGTAATACCAGCACGCTAGGACAGCCAAGCACCAATACCATGGTAAGGAAACAGGCCCTTAGTTAACTCCAGATCTTACTAATAGAGCTGAATAATGAAGCTTCTAAACAGTCAAACTAGCAAGTTCTAGCTCTATGGCAATTCTTAAGTATTGACTATGTAGTAAAGGTAAGAGAGCAAAGTCTTTGAATAATTAAAACCTGGATTCTAGTTCAGGCTCTACTCTGTACTCATTAAGAGGCTAGTGAGCACTTACCCTTTCAGAGCATATTTTCTTACCATTAAGATCTCCTTAGTGTGCTAGAATTGGCCATCCTGAAGCTATACATTAGAACATTGTAGCCATTGTAGAGAACCTTTGACTTGGGCCATTCTATAGAGTAAAGGGTAAAATACTTATAAATTACTGGCTGTATTTCTTTTTTTTTCTTCTTCCAATTTTTTTTTATTAAGGTATCATTGATACACATTCTTATGAAGGTTTCACAAGAAAAACAATGTGGTTATTACATTCACCCTTATTGAGTCCCCCCCATGCCCCATTGCAGTCACTATCCAACAGTGTAGTAAGATGCCACAGAGTCCCCATTTGTCTTCTCTGTGCTACACTGTCTTCCCCATGACCCCACACACACCATATGCACTAATCATGATACCTCACAACCCCCTTCTCCCTCCCTCCCCACCCACCCTCCAACACCCCCTCTGCTTTGGTTACCATTAGTCCCTTCTTGGAGTCTATGAGTCTGCTGCTGTTTTTTGTTCCTGCAGTTTTGCTTCATTGTTATACTCCACAAATGAGGGAAATCATTTGGCATTTGTCTTTCTCCATCTGACTTATTTCACTGAGCATAATACCCTCTAGCTCCATCCACGTTGTTGCAAATGGTAAGATTTGTTTTTTCTTATGGCTGAATAGTATTCCATTGTGTATACGTACCACCTCTTCTTTATCCATTCATCTACTGATGGACACTTACATTGCTTCCATATCTTGGCTATTGTAAATAGTGCTGCGATAAATATAGAGGTGCATATGTCTTTTTGAATCTGAGAAGTTATTTTCTTTGGGTAAATTCCTAGGAGTGGAATTCCTGGATCAAATGGTATTTCTATTTTTAGTTTTTTGAGGAACCTTCATATTGCTTTCCACAATGGTTGAACTCGTTTACATTCCTACCAACAGTGTAGGAGAGTTCCCCTTTCTTCACATCCTCGCCAGCATTTGTTGTTCCTAGTTTTTTCGAAGTTGGCCATCCTAACTCGTGTGAGGAGCTATCTCATTGTGGTTTTAATTAGCATTTCCTTGATAATTAGCAGTGTGGAGCATCTTTTCATGTGCCTGTTGACCATCTGAATTTCCTCTTTGGAGAAGTGTCTGTTCATATCCTCTGCCCCTTTTTTTTGGATATTGTTAATGTACAATTACTTGAACAACATTATGGTTACTAGACTCTCCCTATTATCAAGTCCCACCCACAGACCCCATTACAGTCACTGTCCATCAGCGTAGTAAGATGCTGTAGAATCATTACTTGTCTTCTCTGTGTATACTGCCTTCCCCATGTCCCCATCGCCCCCACATTATGTGTGCTAATCGTAATGCCCCGTTTTCCCCCTTATCCCTCCCTTCCCACCCATCCTCTCCAGTCCCTTTCCCTTTGGTAACTGTTAGTCCATTCTTGGGTTCTGTCAGTCTGGTGCTGTTTTGTTCCTTCAGTTTTTGCTTTTTTCTTATACTCCACAGATGAATGAAATCATTTGATACTTGTCTTTCTCCACCTGGCTTATTTTACTGAGCATAATACCCTCTAGCTCAATCCATGTTATTGCAAATGGTAGGATTTGTTTTCTTCTTATGGCTGAATAATATTCCATTGTGTATATGCACCACATCTTCTTTATCCATTAGTTGCTTCCATTTCTTGGCTATTGTAAATAGTGCTGCGATAAACATAGGGGTGCATATGTCTTTTTCAAACTGGGCTGCTGCATTCTGAGGGTAAATTCCTAGGGGTGGAATTCCTGGGTCAAATGATATTTCTATTTTTAGTTTTTTGAGGAACCTCCATACTGCTTTCCACAATGGTTGAACTAGTTTACATTCCCACTAGCAGTGTAGGAGGGTTCCCCTTTCTCCACAACCTCGCCAACATTTGTTGTTGTTTGTCTTTTGGATGTTGGCCATCCTTGGTGTGAGGTGATATCTCATTGTGGTTTTAATTCGCATTTCCCTGATGATTAGCGATGTGGAACATCTTTTCATGTGTCTGTTGGCCATCTGAATTTCTTCTTTGGAGAAGTGTCTGTTCAGATCCTGTGCCCATTTTTTTATTGGATTATTTGCTTTTTTGTTTGTTGAGGTGTGTGAGCTCTTAATAGATTTTGGATGTAAACCCTTTATTGGATCTGTCATTTAGGAATATATTCTCCCATACTATAGAATGTCTTTTTGTTCTACTGATGGTATCCTTTGCTGTACAGAAGCTTTTCAGTTTGATATAGTCCCACTTGTTCATTTTTGCTTTTGTTTCCCTTGCCCAGGAGATATGTTCATGAAGAAGTTGCTCATGTTTATGTCTAAGACTCTGCCCATTTTTTAATAGGGTTATTTGCCTTTTGGGTGTTGAGGAATGTGAGTTCTTTATAGATTTTGGATGTAACGCCTTGTCGGATATGTCATTTACAAATATATTCTCCCATACTGTAGGATGCTTTTTTGTTCTAATGATGGTGTTCTTTGCTGTACAGAAGCTTTTTAGCTTGATGTAGTCCCATTTGTTCATTTTTGCTTTTGTTTCCCTTGCCCGAGGATATGCCTTCAGGAGAAAGTTGCTCATGTTTATATTCAAGAGATTTTTGTCTATGTTTTTCTTCTAAGAGTTTTATGGTTTCATGACCTACATTCAGGTCTTTGATCCATTTTAAGTTCACTTTTGTGTATGGGGTTAGACAATAATCCAGTTTCATTCTCTTACATGTAGCTCTCCAGTTTTGTACTGGCTGTATTTCAAAATATTCTTTCAGCTTGTTCTTTTAAGCAGAGTCAGGAAAAGGAGTTTGGTTCATTGAAATAAATAAGGAGCACTAAAACTCAACCTTATTGGATACTTGCTATTTCTAAAAGTTTGTAGTATCATTACCAGTTTATTTCTAAGGACTCTTAGACTCTTTTAGGGAAATATAAAACTAAAGGTTAATTTGAGGTATGATTTATTGATTAGAATTCTTGGAATTTGGTCATTAAGTTAGACATACTTTGCCTGAATAAAAAGCAAATACGGGGAGACCCAAAAATACCCAAAATACTAGCAAACCAAATTCAGCAACATATAAAAAGGACTGTAACCAAGACCAAGTAGGATTTATCCCAAAAGGTTGACGCAACATAAAATCAATGTAATAAACCATGAAATAGGATGATGTACAAAAAAAAAAACTATATGATTACCTCAACAAGTGCAGAAGAATCATTTGACACACCCTTTCATGATAAAAACACTCAACAAAGAATGGAAGGGAACCCAGAATAGCCAAAACGATCTTGAAAAAGAAGAAGCTGTAGGACTTACACTTCTCAATTTAAAAACTTACTACAAAGCAATAATAATCAAGACCATATGGTATTAACATGAGGCAGGACATTATAGATCAGTGGAATAGAATTGAGAGTCCAGAAATAAACCCTCACATTTACAGACAATTGATTTGTAGTAGATACCAAAACAATTCAATGGGGAAAGAATAATCTTTTCAACAAATGGCTTTTCCACATGCAAAAGGTTAAGGTTGGATCCTTTCTTCATATACCACTGTGATAACTGTACAGGTTAACTCACAATGGATCAAATACTTACTGTGAGAGTAAAACTATAAAAGTCTGAGAAGAAAAGGAGTTAGGTAGTAGTTTGTTAGAAATTATACCAAGTGAAAGCAGCAAAAAAAATAGATTGGATTTCATCAAAATTCAAAACCTCTGTAGGTCAAAGAGATACCATTAAGAAAGCAAAAGAAAAAAAAAAGAAAGTAAAAAAGAATACCTACAGATGATAGAAAATATTTGCAAGTCATAGTATCTTATGAAGGACTCTGTATCCAGAATATATAGAGAACTCTTATAATTCAGTAAGACAATAACCCATTAAAAAGTGGGCCAAAGACTTAAAAAGGCATTTCTTGAAGGAAGATAATACAAATAGCTAATAAGCTCATGAAGAGATATTCAGTACCAGTAGCCACCAGGAAAATGCAAATCAAATACTTTTGTGAGATACCACTTCAAATCCACGAGGAAGGCTGTAAACAAAAAGACAATAATTGTTATTAAGAATTTGGAGAAATTGGACTGTAAGACTGTAGTAATCAAAACACTATGGTGCTGGCACAAAAACAGACCCATAGATCAATGAAACAGAATAGAGAGTCCAGATATAAACCCATGCGTATGTGGTTAATTAATATACAATAAAGGAGCCATGAATATACAGTGGGAAAAAGACAGTTCTTCAATAACTGGTGTTGGGAAAATAAGACAGCTACATGTAAGAGAATGAAACTTGATTATTGTCAAACTTCATGCACAAGAATAAGCCTAAAAAGGATCAAAGACCTGAATGTAAAACATGAAACTGTAGAACTCTTAGAAGAAAACATAGGCTAAAATCTCTTGAACATAAGTAATAGCAATTTTTTTCTGGACACATCTCCCTGGGTAAGGGAAACAAAAAATACATAAGTGGGACTACATGAAACTAAGAGCTTCTGTACAGCACAGGACACCATCAGCAGAACAAAAAGACAGCCTACAGTATGGGAGAATATATTTGTAAACAATTTATCCAGTAAGAGGTTAACATCCAAAATATAAAGAACTCACATGCCTCAATACCAAAAAAAACAAATAACCCGATTAGGATGGAGGACTTGAGTAGACGTTTTTCCAAAGAAGAAATACAGATGAAGAAATACAGACACATGAAGAGATGTTCCACATTGCTAATCATCAGGGAGATGTAAATCAAAACCACAATGAGATATTACCT